AAGCTTGGCATAGAATCAGCAAAGGAGCAAATTGAGAATCTGCCTCAATATTGCAACCGTCGAGTACAGAACTTCGTTGAGAGTCTACCATCATACCGTGCCGCGGTAGCGAACTGGGATACTTTCAAGGCTGATGTTCTCAAGTACTTTGATGCTGACCGAGATGATCGAAGGTACAAGGTGAAGCACCTTGAAGCGTATGTATTGAAAGCCAGGAAGAAGTCAATGATCAAGAGTCTAGGAACATGGCGAGAGTACACAAGGGACTTCCTAACTATCTCAGGATGGTTAAAGAACAAGGGTCGCATTTCATCTGATGATGAGGCTCTCTATTTCTGGAAAGGAATCCCTCGTGCTTTCCGCCAAGTTCTAGAGCCACGACTGTTGGCATCCCAGCCAACCTATGACTTATCGAAGCCATTCAGTATGAGTGACGTGAACCAGAAGGCCGAAGCATTGCTCCAGCGCAACCGCTTCGACAGTGACAGGCTCCCGTCAGATGACGAAGATGATTCTAACTCAGATTCTGATTCAGATGACAGTGATACTGACAGTTCCAGCAACTCAGATAGTGACACTGAAGAGGAATCCAAGAAGAAGACTACTTCTAAGAAGAAGCGTAAGCTTACTAAGAAGAAGCCTGCACATAAGGATCCTGACACAGATGAAGAGGATTCTACCGACCGCAAGAAGGTACAAGCCGCACAGCGAAAGGCAGCTCGAGAAGATGCAAAGAAGAATGGTGAAGTGGAGGATCTCATCCGTCAGATGAATCGAATGTCAATCAATGACCCAGAATACAAGATATTGTATTTTCGGGCTTGCACAATGAGCCCATTGGTTGCATCAATCCTCACACCGCCTGGACGACCTAGCATGAGTATGGCCAGCCAATCTATTGCTGGCACAGCTGGTAACGATAATAAGCCAAGTATGCCGCAAGGTGTTACTAGGCCACCGATGAAGTGTTACGGATGTGGTGGAAGCGGACATGGTATCGGAACTTGCCCAGAGATTAACACTCTCATTGCCCAAGGTGCTATTGCACGAGATGGGTCCGGGCGGCTCGTCATGAAAGACGGGTCGCGCATTTTCCGAAACATGGACGAACCATTCACCATAGCTATCCGGCGACAATCGACTCCGAGCTCTCACTTCATTATGACCGAGCCGAAGCAGTCATACTGCTCGCATGCCACGATCGAAGAGTATGATTCGGAGGACGAGCCGGTACAGGTACGGAACATTCAGACGGATGAAGGAGAGGATGGTTTCGCATTCGGAGCCGAGCGTACAGCTAAATCTACACGCGACGCACGTGAACGTGTAACCAGGAATCCTATCGTGCCACCAGTCACTGTACAGGAGAAGATTGGTAAGACTAAGCCAGCTAGTAGTGGACCAGACAAACGTGACGTACCTCCACATCTACCATCCGCATCACAGCCCGCGCCCGACGCAACGCGAACTTCCGCCCGACTACGCGGCGAGCAAGCTCCTCCGATCCCAGTGCATCGGGGGGACAGAGTCATGCAGCCGACGCAGCCGACTCAGCACGATCGCGTGGGTAGCGAGCCCCCACTCGCATGGAAGACCGCGAGGCCCATAGACGTAGCGGCCCGGCAGTTCGATGCAAGTGATGATGACGCTATCATGGAAGACGCGCCATCAGCACGATCGCCGGAGAAAGAGAACGAATCCACTGCACGTACCGAAAAGGAGAAGACAACTAAGCATGAACCTGTGAAGCGCATCCCGCGCCAGAATCAGGTACAAGCTCAGGTCGACCCCTGGCAGGTTCTGGCCAAGGTGTTGAACACTCCGGTGACCTTGCCAGTCGGTGAGATATTTGGGGTCTCGAAGGACCTGACTCACAATCTTCAGGAGGTCTTGAAGCCCAAGCCGGCCGCGAAGAACGTTGTAGCGGCAGCGTTTGTCCCCCGATCGAAAGGCGCGTTAATTTATCTGCGACTAGAAGTGGATGAACGCCCCGTGACGGCGATCATCGACACCGGATCTCAGCTAAACATCGCCAGTCGAACGCTCTGGAAGACTCACCTTAATCGCCCAATGGACGTCACCCGATCGTGTCAGATGAATGACGCGAACGGAGGGGCGGGAGCCCTGCGTGGACTGGTCGAGAACGTCGTCTTGAAGTGCGGTCGCGTCCCGACGTACGCGAACCTATACATCGGCGACAAGGTGCCGTTTGACTTGCTGCTCGGACGACCCTGGCAGCGCGGTAACTACGTGAGCATTGACGAACGCGAAGACGGAACATACCTGTTGTTTAAGAACAACCAAATGGAAGTTCAGCACGAGATCCTCGTAATGCCCGATGGCATTAATCCCGGATGGTCGTATGAGCCCGCGGTATGGCTCGGAAAGGATGGGAAGGTGCCAGCCGGCCCGACGGACGCGGAACCGTCCACCGTGCTTGCTTGTGGCAGCCCCGCCGCGCTGACCTCCTATGCCGAGCAGTGGCAAGCCTCGCGTGAGTCAGAAAAAGGAGACGTACTATACGACGACTTACCTGATCAATTGAACGCACCCGCGAGCCCTGACGAAGACACTAAGGTTGGGTGGTTCGATCCCAACCTCCTGACGCGACAACTGTATGGCCTCGTGCGGTCCGCGCGCGAGCAAGCGACCCTCGAGCCTAAGGAGCAAATGACTCACCGGTGCGGAGCGCACAGCTTCGCGGACTGCCCCGCAAAGCTCTCCGAAGCCAAGCGCAGTTCAATAAGTCAGCTCGACAGAAGATTGGACGACTTACCTGATGCCAATACCCCAGAACGAACTTCCGCCAATCCCATCGCTCCCGACATTCGCGCAGCGGTCCACTTGACATTAGCAAGTCGGATTCGCAATCTCAATGGCCACAAAGAAGGCCGCCTAGCTCAATCCGGTATGGGCAGTGGAGAGATGGACGCCGAGGTTAATGACCGAGCTAGGAAGAGGAGGCGGCTTGATATTGAGGGACCAGGGACTGATAACGTGTCCCCTATGCCGAGGAACACGCCTGCGAACGTTGACGAAGAGGCGCAAGATGCGCGCGCAAGCCGTATCCAGCAAGCAGAATTCAGAGCAAAGCGAGAAGAGATGAAGGAGGACGAGTTTGAGAGCGAAGACGACCGCGCGAGAGAGAAGTCGCCAGCAGACGCCGGCACCGAGACAGCGGTGCAAGTCGATCGAGGAGCGGACATATCGGAGAAGATCTGGCCGGGCCCAGGAGATCGCAGATTCGATCTGCAGGCGCCTGTGGCTGTGGCGCGACGCGCGCTGGCTCTCTCTCTCCCTGCGACCTCTACCAGTACCCTCGATTCTCGACATGACTCCGCGCTCACGACCTCAAATCGTTACGGGACCATGGGACGACATCGGTTAGGAGTTAGGGGAGGGATAAACGGCTTAGGTGAGCACCTCCCGCTTTGGTATTTAGCTCGCGCGAGCAAGCACCTCCGTCCGACAACCCAAGTCCATCCCCCGTCCTCCACGCCCGCCATGGCTTATCCACGCGGCCCGTCCGGTGTCTCCCTCCCCCCCATCGACCAAATCTTCGAGATCGACCGCCTCCCCGAGTTCGCGCACCAGGACCAAGTCCTCAACGTGGTCCCTTTCAGCCAGGTCGTCCCTGTTCCGCCAGGCCTGCCACGCGGGTACATCCCGCCGCAGGACCTGTTCCACAGCATGGACCGCGACCGGTTCAGCTCGGACGTCGTACGCCCCCATCCCTCCTCCGTCATCTCGACCAAGAACGCGCAGGTGCGCGGAGAGCTCGTCGACACGAACGGAAACGAGGTCACGATCGTAACGCTGGACGACGCGGCCATTACCTACCAGCAGCCAGGCGAGAGCGGAACCAACGCAGCCGGTGTACGCGTCGCCGCCTTCATCTCGAAGAACCCTAACGAGCCCAAGCAGGTCGTCACCCCGGGCATCCGCAAGGCCGACTATCCCTTCCATCGCCAGGCGCAGGAGATGCGCGCCCGTCTGCTCGATCCACGCGCACACCTCGCGCCTACCCTGCACTCTAGCACGAACCCGTCGCACATCTACCCGCCCGGACATCCGATGCACGCAGCCCATGATTTCCCTGTAAGTGACGACCCCTTCGCCAACTTCAAGCTACACTTACACGAGCTTGCGAAGGACCCGCCGCCGCCTCTTCCGCGTGCGCGTTCGCGCCGCGGCGGCGTGCCTCCTGCGCTCGCGCCGCGCAAGCCGTCGGGCTCGCGCACTCCGCGTAACCAGCCGCAGGCCCCGGCCTTCGTCCCACGTCCCCAGGCTCCGGCCTTCGTCCCGCGCCCCCATCCCAACTCGTATGCGCAGGCCGTGCAGCCTCCGCGCGCGACCACCTCTACTACGGCTATGGCCCCCGCCCCCGGAGCGCCTCCCATCGACCCCTATCACCTCTACGCCGGACGCACGCCCTTCCGCCTCCCTCTTCCGGACTCGGACCCGGCCCCTCGCCCAATTCGACTCGGCTCACCGCTGTTCGCGAAGGCCGTCAACGACCTGCGCCCGAACCCATTCATGGACGAGGGTACCGTCTTGAAGACCACGTCCACGGCCCCTTCCTCGCTGCCTCCGCCTACGCCTTCGCCGGTCCCCTCGATTGCCAGCCGCCGTCCTCCTGCGCCCGCTAACTCACCGCAGTTGCAGTACCCCGGCGACGAGGTAGTGCCACGCGCTGGGTCCGCCGCACTCTCCTCGCATCCGTCCATGCCGGATCTCGAGACCGTGCCGCCGTCAAGTGACGAGGAAGACATGGTACTCGTATCGGACTCCGAAGACCTCGAAGCAAACAAGGCGGACGCGCCGAAGGCGCGTGCTCGCCGCCATTTCAGCACGCTCTCAAACGTCGACGAGCTCGACTCCACGGCGTGGTCATTGACAAAGAGGACCTACCGGGTGGTAAGTCCGACCCTGTCTTCGAAGTCACATCCGCTAATGGTTGGCCTCCGGTGCACGTAGAAGATGTCGGCGCGAAGCCCGAAATGACGTTCAAGGAGCTCTTAGAAAAAGCCGAAGAAGAGTTCGAGCCCCACAATGAGATCGAGTCCGACTACGATACGGACCGCGACGCCATCCCACCTTACAAGGTACGAAGACATCCAAACATGGATGTCATCTACGAGAAACTGACGTTCACCCTCGACAACGCCACTCACCCGATGGACACGCAAACTCGCGACGCCGTACGAATCGCGCTTGTCAAGGCCTTTCGCGCCGCCCGTGCGCGCGGTCGCCACGACGGTATGCGCGAGGCCCGCAAGCGAGAATGGATGACGCACCCGGACAGTGACTTCGTGCAAGTTGCGAAGCGCGGCAAGTACAAGAAACACCTCGGGCACTTTCGTGGCAACCCGATGTTGCATAAAAGGGAGCGCGAGCAGCTGTGTGAGCTACACGGTATTTCTCTCGCTACCGCACTGCTGATCCGCAATGCAATGGACTGACGACACCGACACTATCCTCGCCCTCATCGACACCTCGCTCAAATACAACGCGGCGGGCGAATACGGCATCCTGCTGCACTCGCAATGCATGCAGAACGTGTTCGGCGCGCCCGGCGAGTACTCCGCCTACTCCATTCATAACTAGGCTGGAGCTCGACGTCGCGCTCACCCTGCTGTACGTCAACTTCCTTGGTATCAACCTGGTCACGGTAACTTACGATTCTGGACAGAGATCTCGTGCTCGGACGTACGGCGATCTACTACGACTGACAATATACATTCAAAAGGCCAACTTCGTTCTTCCGCCTCGGTACGATTTGTCTTGTGCTTCGACTTATGATTGGTGTTACGAACTGACTTCTCCTTCGATTCTGATGTATCTTTTGTGACTGTAACTCTTTCAGTGCTTAGACGCGAGCACGAGTATTCGTGGCATGCCCCCAAAAGCGTGCCGGGATGCTCGTGCCTCGCAATTATGTTTATCTCTTATGGTTCGACTTGTATGTATACTTCTGCTTTGAATTGTGTGTATGCCTCGGTTTTGACTCGCGCCTCGGTTCCGACTCTTACGAACTATATGGGTGTACGATATTAGGCTTGCATTCTCGACTCAGTCGTAGTGTACAAGTCTGCGATGTAAATTCCTCGAAAAGCCCCGAATATATTGGCCGTATTCGGTACTCCGCGTGTGCGCAGCAACTCGACTCGACCAATATAGGTGCACAGAACTAGCTATGGAACGAGAGCTTGTGGTCCACCACTACCCAGAATCCCGCAACCTCTGCAGACCTCGCACACGTCAAACTTGGCATCTCCCGAGTACTTCGCACGTCGCCGCCTCTCTCGACACGTCAACCCGACAACTCGCCGCTTCACCCAACCAGGCAACTCCTCGACGCGCCTAGAGACAAGTAAGTTGCTCGCATGTGCAGCTCGGCTAAGCAGGGCGTACCAAGCTCTGTGCAATGCCCACCGTACAGTGCAACTTCCGCCCAACGCACACGCCCACCAGTCTCAGCTTCCGAATCGACTACGACACCCGGACATGCGACCGCGAGTCAGTATGAACGTGAGAACGTAAGCATGGAACTCACAGACGAATGGCCAGCGTACGTCGGGATGATAACGGTCGACCACGAGCAGTGGGAGGAACAAGAGAGTCGCACCAACGACCACGACACGTTCGTCAGCTCGCTGGACTTAGACGCCGACGAAGAGCTACTTGCCTTTTACGGTAACGAAGTCTTGGGAGCTTACAAACGCGTCGACCGACGAGTGAAGCCTGTACCGGGAGTATTCCCAGAGGATGCACGAGTCGAACGACGCATCCCGGAAGATCCGCTCGCCTCGTTAGAGCCATTACCCATCCATCCGCCCGACTTCACGCCAGGAACTCGCCTTACGGTTGACCATTTGGAAGAAATGAATATCAATCCAAAGGGCTTTCTGTGGCCAGAAGAGGAGAAGCTCTTCCAGCACATCCTCAAGCTTAACGAGAAAGCCTTAGCTTTCGAAGAAGCTCAGCGGGGAACATTCCGAGAAGACTACTTCACTCCATACATAATTCCAGTGGTTCCACATGAACCATGGGAATTTGCCAATATCCCGATCCCGCCTGGGATCAAAGAGAAAGTCATAGCCCTGCTAAAAGAGAAGATTAATGCAGGAGTCTATGAACCTAGCCAATCATCCTATCGTTCGAGATGGTTCTGTGTGGTTAAGAAGAATGGCAAACTTCGTATTGTCCATGACCTTCAACCTTTGAACAAGGTATCAATTCGTGATGCTGGTCTACCACCAAAAGTAGATGACTTTGTTGAAGATTTTGCTGGACGGAAATGCTACTCAGTGTTTGATCTATTTTGGGGATTTGATGCTCGAAAGGTTCATCCCATGAGTAGAGACATGACATCGTTTCAGACACCGTTAGGTCTTCTTCGCATCACATCGCTACCAATGGGATTCACCAACTCGCCTGCCGAGTTCCAGAAGTGTATGGCATTCATCTTGCAGGATGAATCCAAACATAGCCAACATCTTCATAGATGATCTACCTGTTCGAGGACCCGCGACAGACTATCCGGATGAGAATGGCAACCCAGAAGTATTGAAAGCCAATCCAGGCATTCGGCGCTTCATATGGGAACACGCAAATGATGTCCATCGGTCATGCATCGTGTAGGACATGCAGGTGCAACCTTCGCACCTAACAAAGCTCAAATCTGTCGTCCTGAAGTTGTGATTGTAGGACAGACATGTACACCTGAGGGCAGATTACCAGAGTCAAACAAGGTTGATAAGATCTTAACTGGCCAGTTCTACAGAGTGTTCATGACATTCGGGCTTTTTGGGCCTATGTGGAACAGTCCGGATATGGATTCACAACTACTCTAAGGTAGCTCGTCCACTGACACAGCTGTTGCATAAGGAGACAGATTTTGAGTGGACAGATGGCTGTCAGGTAGCCTTTGATGCTCTGAAAAGTGCAGTAACATCGCACCAGCTCTACGACCTATTGACTATAGCTCAGACAATCCTGTCGTACTATCCGTTGACTCTAGCAAGTATGCAGTTGGCTTCATCCTATCACAATACGATGAAGCCGGACGCAAGAGACCTGCCCGATATGGGTCAATCCCAATGTCAGAGCGAGAGTCACGCTATTCTCAGCCAAAGCTGGAGCTGTATGGATTGTATCGTGCCTTACGAGCCTACCGCTTATACCTCACTGGAGTGCAAAACCTAGAGGTGGAAGTGGATGCAAAGTATATCAAAGGCATGCTCAATGAGCCAGACCTACAGCCTAATGCAACCATCAATCGATGGATACAAGGAGTATTGCTCTTTACCTTCAAGCTCATCCATGTACCTGCAGAGCGACACAAAGGTCCAGATGCTTTATCTAGACGTCCACTAGTAGATGGAGAGGATACTGAAGAAGAGGACGACTCATGGCTAGACGATATTGCCCTGAACATAGAGATTCAGGAGCACCATCGCCAGCTAAAGTATGAGTGCATCCCATCCTATGCTGCACTATTGAATCAGAGCCATGGCCATGTGTTCATCTCTGCCAACACCAAGGCAGACAGGCTTCTATTTCAGTATAGGAAGTTCCTCACATCCACCGAACTACCTCTCTTAGACACACAGCAAGCCAAACAACGCTTTATCCAGAGTGCAAGTCGTTTCTTCATGAGGAATGAAAAGATGTACCGACGTAATGGTACCCAGCCTCCACGTCTAGTGATCATGAAGGCTGAGAAGAGGTTGGAAATTATGACCCAAGCTCATGAAGGACTTGGCCACCGAGGAGAGCAAGCTGTGATGCATACTGTCAAGGAAAGGTTCTACTGGCCAAGCATGTGGAATGACATTCATCATCATGTAAGCTCATGCAAGCAATGCCAGATCCGCAGTGTTCGCAAAGTCGAGGTACCACTGGTGATTTCCACCCCTGCCACTATATTTGTTAAGGTCTATCTAGACATCATGGAGATGCCTAGAGCGAAAGGATTCAAGTATATCATTGCTGCTCGGGATGATTTATCAAGAGCTAGTGAAGGTAAATCCTTGAAGAATAAGAAGGCAAAATCAGTCGCAGCCTTCTTCTTTGAACAGATCTTGTGCCGGTATGGTGCTGTTGGTGAAGTGGTAACTGATAATGGCTCTGAGTTCAAAGAGGCCTTTCAGAAATTGATGAAGCGATACAAGTTGCCACAAATCAAGATATCCAGCTACAACTCTAAAGCTAATGGAGTTGTAGAACGAGGGCACTTCATTATTCGTGAGTCAATCCTCAAGACTTGTGAAGGCAATGCAGACAAATGGCCCGACTATGTTCACCATGCGTTCTTCACTGATCGCGTGACTGTTAGTCAATCTACTGGATTCTCTCCCTACTATCTGTTGTATGGAGTACACCCAGTCCTCCCTTTTGATCTGGCCGAAATGACTCTGTTAGTAGATGGATTCCATGCGGGGATGTCTACCAGTGATCTGTTAGCATTACGAATCAAGCAGTTGATGAAGAAGCCAGATGATGTTGCACGTGCGGCACAACTGCTGAAACATACACGCTTGCGTTCTAAGGAAGTCTTTGAGCGACGCTATCAGAGGAGACTGAACAGAAAGGTGTATGAGCCTGGTGACTTGGTCTTGGTGCGTAATAAGGCAGTCGAACAGAGTGCCGACCGAAAGCATCACCCAAGATACCTAGGGCCTTTTAGTGTCGTCCGCCAGACAAAAGGAGGTTCATATGTTCTATCCGAACTTGATGGTGCAGTGTGGAGACAGGGAATTGCAGCATTCCGACTTCTCCCATTTGTGTCAAGAGAACAGATTGAAGAATTGAACTGGGCCGATGATGATGAAGACCTGGATATGGATGAAGATGAAGAAATTGAGGATGATGAGGAGTATGATGAACAAGAGCATAGTGAAGAGGAGATGGAAGATGAAGATGAAGAGTAGGACTTTTTCTTTTTTTATGGCCAGGAATGCAGAGTGCAACTGGGGACAGTTGCATTTTCTTTGTGCCGTCCAGATGTCCTGAGCCAATATTGTTTGGCTCAAGGAACATGGTATATACCTCAATTTCCTTTCTATTGATATGACCTGTTACCAGACTACTCATTCACAGCACAGCCCCCTGCAGTGCATAGCCATGGTCATGTGAGACTAGTCTAGAAGGTCACGTGGGCTTTGAGATTGCAGTGGGACTGGTTGCATAGTCATGAGTACAGCATGAGCATAGCCACGCACAGCCTACGCACAGCCCCCGGACTGGCTAGGGCCTGCTGGGCAATCCACATGTTGTCTCAGAGTACAGCCTCCAGATGTATTTCAAATAGGATACAAGGCAGTGCTAGATACTGACTTGTGATTGGCTGACCCATGTCATATGGCAGTACAAGCTGTACCACATGAGTCGCTTTGAAGTACATAGCTGTGTTCATGACTAAGGATGAGTAAGGACTGACTAAGTAGTGTAATCTGTATGAGTAAAGCTGTTCCCCACATGTATATAAGGCCCCCAGTTTTCCATGGATGAGGCAGTCAAGTTCTCCCAGATTCTCAGTGTAGATCTTGTGAGCTGCTGCTCTGCAAGTTAGTAACATAAGCTAACAAGCGGCATCCTAGTGTGCAATATACTACAGTTCAGCTTAACAAGTCTATTGTGTGACTTCAAGCCCCTGTTAGTGCCTCTAGTGATTCTTGATCGGTAAGCTGTTTACCATAATCAGCAACTCTTGTAGTCACGTCTCAGTCACGCACGTCACTCGTATCCACGTATTCCAGTCCAGTGGGTAGGCTAGTGGTTAGTCTATTCATTCAGCACGTCACGTCACTTCAACGAGATCAGCCAAGTTATAGTGTGTAAAGGCAATTCAATTGCTGTGGTAAGTAAAACAACTGTACTTGCTAACAAACTTTACAGTACTACCAACACTCAACCAACCCCCTCTACAACGAACAACTGTGATAGCCCGGTATTGCTCATACCCGGTGAACCGCAGCAGAAACACATTCTGACCTGACACCGACAGTCCCGTTCAACTCCGGTCACTTGACGCGAGGTTTAATAGTAGTGATTCTCCTTCCCATGCCCTATCCCTCGTGCTGCAGGGTCTCTCGTGCTTCTGTCCTCATGCCTCCCCCTCACTCTCCTACCTTCCAGCCCCTAGGCAGCTTCAGGGACCTCACTATCGACGACTGGTCCAACTTGGGGGACAGTCGCCACCTCTCCGACAAGTACTCGTCTGGCGTGTCACCGACGAACTTGAATCATACCTGGAACTTCAGCGACTTAGGTAAGTGTGATTCTACTTATCTTCTCGTTGTACTAACTCATGACCTCCTCTAGCACCGCCGTCCTCTCCCCCCACCAGTGTCGACGACGAGGACTACATGGAGGCTGTGCGGCGCTGGCCTTTTGCCAGACGAATATTCGGCAACCTCTTGGAAGACAGGGACTTCCCGGCGTTGCCCGACGTTTTAATAGAGGTACTTGCGTACGGTGACACCAACCGTACCTAGCTGACGATTTTCAGACTCCCAATTTCCAGCCGGAAGATTGGGATCTTCTTCGCTCAAAATTGCGAGACAAACCTGAGATTCTGCGTCATTTTTGGTGAGTTACATGTACGCTATCGTGTATGTCATTCTCACTACAATCCTGATACTCTAGGTTCCGTTACGACCGTAAGATGGCGACCGTTGTGGCCGGTTCTGCAAGCGGTCTGCATCAAGACGTCGTGCTGGGATGCGCCAGCACCGTAGTCGAGGACATCATCAAGCCGGTGGTTGATCAGGTGCGCGTACCTGGGACGTTGGTGACGCAGAACGGCGCAAGGCTGCTAGTTAGGGAGGACCACATAGAGGTCCCTGACTGCATGGTAGGACTCTTCAACCAGGCGAAAAAGAACAAGCTCTGCATCAACCTGAACAGTGACTGCGTACTCATTGAGTCGGCGAGAACACAAAGCGCACCGCATGTGCTTGCAAAGGTGAGCTTCATCTCCACCGGTAACCCTACCGTCTAACCAGCCTGCAGGTCACAGACAACATGACGGCGTCCGATACCTCGGAAAGCGTGGCGGGACACACCTACGTGCGTCAGATGGCATCGGTGGCGGGATCGGAAGGTGAAGAGACGGAGGACGGGATGCAGACACAGACGGACGATGAAGACGGGACGCAGATGCAGACGGATGACGATGACGGGACACAGACTCAGACGGAGGACGGGGACGACGACGGGACACAGACGCCGGCAGGCCCTGAGACGGAGCACGCAGGCGAGGAACCGTCCTCTCCTCTCACTCCTCTACCGGACGCGTCCTCGCCCCTATCGCCCCTCTCCGATGCATCCTTTCCATCTCCCCCTCCCCTGCCACCCCCGTGGCGCCTCTCCCCCCCAGTGAGGCCAGAAGATCTCGTCCGTTGTCTTCGTGGTCGTCTCCACGCAGGAGAAGGCCGTCAAGAAAGCTCCCCCCGGTGTGGACATCAACAAACAAGACTGGGTCGAATTACCCTGCCTGGACGACGACTGCATCACGGGAGGCATCGCTTACGGAGGTAGGATATACGTAGGGGAAATACGTGCGTACATGTGGGTTTTACAGGGCGCAGAGGACCACGCGTACCTCGCGAAGCACTGGAAGGACGACCTGGAGGAGTGGGTTAGAAGCGGGAAGGCCCTAGTAAGTGCTCATAGTCCCTTCTCAGACGAAAAGTGCTTACTTGCACCAGCTTCTTCGCAGGAGGTACGCCACTGATGAGCAGAAGCAGGCGCTCAGGCAGTGGGAAGCGAGATGGCGAGAGTGTATGCTGTCTGTACGACACAAGGTCCTCCACAACCTCATCATCGCAAAGTCAAGCCAATGCACCCCCGTGGAACTCGTGGTGTTCGAGGAGAAGATCGACAAGCTACCTGACCTCAGCCTGCCGCCCATCAAGAGCCCGGTGGGAGTAGTTAGGGCCCTGGTCGGCTCCGGGAGCTGGCGATTGGCGGAGGAACGGTACGCCAAGGCCACGAACGCGACTACCCAGTACTCGTTCGACGGAATTGTCGGAAGCCGGAAAGAGGCGTTCAAGGCAGGGGCGTCTCTCAAGAGGGCCCTTGACGAGGGTGACATTGGACGGGCTAGAAGGGCTCTCAAACGGCGTCACCTCGACACCGCGCTCGTCGACAAGAAAAGTTCTTTGACGGACTCCGACTACCTGGGCTCTGCTGACGGCTCGAGCGACCCGATACCGAGTGACCCCCTCCGTGATCCGTCGTTCAATCCCGACGTGGACGACGGCCATTACTCTCAAGACAGCAACTACGGCGAGTCGTCTCAGGGGTCGCAGCAGGGGTCGTCGCAGCAGGGGTCGTCGCGGGGTAACGACTCGTCGCAGGATGACGACGAATCGTCGCAGGATGCCGACGACTCATCCCAGGATGCCGATGAATCGTCGCAGGATGAGAATGACGCGGAATCATCGTCGCAGGGTGAATCGAACTCCTCACAGCTTGACGCTGACTCACAGGCCAGCACTGGTTCTGAATGAGCGTACTACTCGCCGCTGAAGAACATAGATCCTGGCAGTTGGCTCATCCTCGCGTTGTCGTCCCGTTTGCTCATTGTATTCGCTGTGTTCGCTGCTCGCTGCTCGTTGTGTTCGCCGCTCATCATATTCGCTGCCCGTCGTACGTCGTATTCGCTGCCCGTCATATTCGCTTATTCGCTGCCCGTTGTGTTCGCTGCTCGTTGCTGCGCGTCGTATTCGCTGCGCAATCGTATTCGCTGTGCATTGCTGCTCGTCGCATCGGTGTAATTGTAATTTTAGCTACTCTCTCATCTCTACTCTCGCCCCTTCAGCCCCGTCCTTCGCACATTCATAATATATGGAGATTCTTGAGACTACATGCCATCCTGCACTGTCTGAGCCCAGGGGGCACTTGCACGCCAAGGTGCTAATTCGCTGGCCCGCCTAAATTAGGACAGCCGTCGTCCGGTGGCTTACCTCGGCAGACCGCAGTGGATGTAGTTGACGCCTTAACGTTCCTCTGTCCGTCCGTTATGCAGCTCACTCCGGAAGAACAAAGGGATCTAGAGGAGTTGTTGTCACGCACCCCTAGTCTCAACGAGAATCTCACGTCTCTGCTACGAAGACTTCAAGACCAGCAACCCACTGCACAGCTTGCTGAACACCTGACTGACTGTCAGGAAAGACGGTCAAGTCTTGACAGGCTGGCTGACGTTGCGCGTGAGTTTAATGCCAGTTCTACCGTTCTCGCTGAACAATCAATTTTTACAGTGAGTCAGGAGAACACGTCACAGTACCTTGACGACGCAGAGCTTGCTCAGGCCCAGACTCACTGCCAAAATCTGGACGAGTCGGAAGGTACGTACTACCCTTATTGCTTGCTAGACAGAGTCCAATGATTACTGTAGGGGATCAAGTTCTTTCTAATGGGACCGTTTGTGGCCCCCAGCGGCAAACAAGATCCTCTCGTCGTGCCCGCGAGGAAGCTCACCCGTACGCCCCTCAGCTGGAGGCAAATACTGTCGTAGCAAACCGGCTTGAAAAGCCTGATGGTCACGAACGTGCTCGAAGACTGCTACGTCAGCGACCGCAGCATCGCCTCCCACCTTGCCCCCGAGGTGGTATCCAGTTCGTCCCGATCAATTCTGCGATGGATGCCAATAACTCTGCGACGGAGTCCGAGGAAGCGCAGACACGGCAGTGGGAAAACACCTCTGAACCGGCTCTTACCACAGGGGCCGCTGTGCATAAGTACACATCCCTCCTCACGTCAGATCTCAGCCACAGGAGGCTCCTTGACGTGTGCAGAGCAGTACAGGCAAGTGTGACGGAGCTGCAGGGGGCGCCGGTTCGCCAGGACGAATCACTGCGCTCTCTGGTAGCCAGATGCGCCTGCAGCCTGAAGCTGGATGCTGCCGCCAGCTTCTGGCTGATGATCAGTCACATAAGGCTCGCCTTTAGAGTGGCAAGGTACGTAGCTTTTCCTTTGAATATCTCCTAGTGTTGAATGGCTGGCATGACTAGGATACTTGAGTTAGATAACGGGAAATCTGACGAAGGCAAACTCACCGTGGCGGGAATTTGGCGGAGAGAATTTGAAGGTGTCGAGGGTGCCCCAGAGAAGAGGACGTTTCAGGACTGGAACACTACCGGCGTGAAGTTCGCGCGACTCGCCGGAGGAGGTACGTCTAGCATGCATGTTCCCAAAATATATATTGATCTCAAAATTCACGTCCAGGCTCTATCTATCTTCTGGTGCTAGTAGCAGCCCAGAATCTCCGAGTACCTCTGGCTACCGCCAACGCACACATCGCACAAGACTTCGGTAATCTCCTGAGGTGGCCTGACGGTAGGCTGATTTTCTTATTGACATCTGACTGTTCTAAGCCGACTCAGATTCAAGAACCGGACGGCTCGTCAAAGATGTCATAATCCCCGCAGTAGCTCGTCTGCGAGAACTGTGCCCGATTCGTCTTGACTGTATCCTGCCGGCAGCTCCCCAACCTGGAGTGTCAAGATCGCATTTTCCGCCTGATCTGTGCGGCCATCTTGACGCATCTGATTGCGTATTTGAATCCTGGAAATTGAAGTGAGCGTCAAGTTCAATATTGCCCCCACGTTATGGCACACTAATCGTTTATAGCTCCTTTTCTCTGGTGCCACGAAACAGAGACGTCTGGAGATCGTGCTACGATGAGTGCGACACCAGCAACGCATTCACAAATGCCTTGATAGACGAACTAGGGCCGTTATCACCGCTGACACCGATTGACTCTCCCGTCCCTCCAGACATCAGGAAAAACACTGTGGTCACCAAACAGATTGACCGAATTCCAAACACACCTGAACCAAGCTCAACATGTCTGAGAGGTGTTTCAGGGAACTATACGCCATTCAGACAGATTAATGGTACACCTTTCTTTGTGAAATGCCTCTTAAACGAAGTTATGTCACGTAAACTAGTTTCTAGGCGCGTCGGGTATACTGTGAAGTCTCTCTGTTCACATTAAGTTCCACTTTGGTAGGCTGCAAACATACCATTCTCGAGCCATCAGACGATACCACGCACGCTGAGACAACATGCGATACATTGTACAGTTACAGACCATTCACGGTGCAAACAACTACTAGTAGTACAGTCCCAGGAATGTAATCAATCAGTTCCACAGCTCTCCGTCCTCGTCGCCGTCATCCGATGCACCTTCATCTGATGACACTGTCGCCGCGCCTACATCTTCACCCCAGTAGGCTCCAGGGCCTGTGTTGTCAAAACCTTCTGGTGCTACCGTAACTCGACATCCTGCTTCCCCGATGTCTGGCCGCACTGCAATCAAACCTCGAACGGGCTCCCTCACCGTGTGCCACCTCGCCTGCACGTATTCGCGACGACGTGGAAGGCCTACTGGCCAGATCCACTTGAGGTTGATGAATTTGTGCCTCATGGAGCACATAGGGAGTATCGGCTGACTTCCCTCCGCGTAGTTGCACACAAATGTCGTCATCTTGACGTATGACGCTTTGAGCACGGGTACGTTGGTGAGGGGAAGGGAGAGGCGGATGGGGAATGTAGGCTCCATCCAAGATGGAACGAACGTTTCGAGGGACGGGTCGTACTTATCAAAGCCCATGTCGTGGCCTTCGATTTCGCCAGTGAACTCCCAGTTCAACAGCGGCAGGAGTTGGCGGAGGAGTGGCTGCTCGGATACTCCAGGGATAACGACGTTTTTCCCGTCCTCGTCAAGCTCCCCTATCAGAGGGACGGAAACGGGTTGGTATGCCACCTGTCCATCGCCCAGATGCGTTTGTCAGTACTGCTTCTAGGTCCCAAGAGGTTTCAAACTTACGGAAACGTAAACCCACACTTCAACCAGTACCTTTCGCCCCTGCCAGTGTAGCGCAATTTCCGGCGGCCCCAGATGGGTCAAGTGAATGGGCCGTGCCATGCTCGAATACAGAGCCGGCTCAGATCCCATAAAGACCCACCCGCCGTATTCCACCTTCTTCTCCCGGGCAAGCTTGGCCATAGCGTACCTCGCGTAGATGTCGGGTTGCACACGACTCAGCTTCATGGGACAGTGTGCGTACATCAAACACTGGACAAAAACAACATTAGACAAAAGCACAAGGAGCATGATACGGCACTCACATAATCGAACAGGTACCCAAACGTTTTTCTCTCCAAACAGACCACAGTGACGTGGTTAATAGTCGAGCATATATGGCACCGCCTCGATTTCATGCATACGTCCTCGAACTTAGGTAGGCCGCCTTGGTATAGACAGCTGATGATGCGAGGGTCGAAGCGAATAGCAGGGAAGGGGAACATGGTGCTGGAAGAGTGGTGGCCAGTGTTGGGACAGCAGAGAGACGTCTGAGAGCGCTTTGAAGACGTTTGAACCAGTTCCCACACTAAGCGCTCACGTCGCGATGCGTTCTGTGGCCCTCGGTGCAGAGCCTTCCTCAGTGACTCGGAAGCGTTTCACCGAGCATAAATAGAGTAGATAGAAGATACTTTATTAACCGTACAGCTCAGAAAAACACGTAGCAACTAATGAACCAGAAAAAGTCCCATTACAGTGGCAACCAACCAACGTTTCAGTATCCATCAGAATCGAGCTCCCAGAGCGGTTCATCCTCAGGCTCAGAATCAGCCTCGTCCTCGTCCTCTATCCCTGACCCTGAGTGGGAGTCAAACTCGCTGTTCTTGCCCCCGTTGTCTCCGCGCTTCTGTATGAGCTGTTCTCCCCACCTCACCACGCAGCCCTCCTCTCCAGGTCGAGGCCGAGTTGCCATCCTGGGAGACTGGGGCGGCGGTGGAACAACACTCCAGGCCGCTTCCACATACTGGCGGGGATTTTTAAGGCCCTCCGGCCAGATGATGTCGAGCCCCATGAAAGCGTACTTCATGGAGCACATGGGAGCCGTCCGTTCCTTTCCAGTCGTGTAGTCGTGCACATTGATTGTTTTCTGAATTTCCGACTCCTTGAAAACGGGGATGCTGTCGAGGGGAAGAAGCTTGCGGATGGGATGCTCGTCCGGGTCATTCATGTAGGCAGGGATAAACGTCTGCAACGCTGGGCTGTAGAGGTCGAACGTCGCCCAGGGCTTGTGGGGCGACCCCTTGAAGCGGTTTAGCCCAGGGATAGCCTGGATCAGGAGCGGCTGGGTTGAGGGACCGGGTATGTCAATGACCATCCCGGTGGAGTCTATCTCCCCTATGAGGGGGATGGAAATGGGGGTTCTCCCGTTCTGTACGTTAACGCAACGATGTCTGTTAGTACTGGACAAACATGGCAAGACTCTCTACGCACTGCGACATAAAACAGTGCTTCTACCGACGCCAGCCGCCCCTCCCCCTCTCGCTCGCTCGCACACGCCTGGTGCAAAAGAGGACACAACTCCGGACGCACGTAAAAGTCCGGAATTGCACCCATGTAGACCCATCCGCCAAACCTGGCGGGAGGATCACGCAGCTTGAGGGTGAGTTCCATCATTCTCTCAACCTTATCTGGCTCGATTTGCACAGGGCTAAAACGCATGGGGCAGCCAGAGTCGTCGCCCAGAAGACACTAAAGGGTGATCCATGAGACAACGCCTAGCCAGGCACGTTGTGGAGAACAACTCACGTATTCGTACAATTCCCCAAAATGCAACCGCTCCATGCAGATCACCGTGACGTGGTCTATGTTGGGGGAGCGGCTGCATGGTGATGACGAGCCGCAGTAGTACTCGAATCCGAACTCCATAACCTCGCTGATAGTCTTGATGACGCGTTCGTCGACATTGCGGGGTGTAGGCATAGTGGAACGGAATAGGTAGAGAGCGGGTGGGATTTGTTGGAGATCGTCAAGCAGTTTCAGACGAATGGGATGTGTTTGAGAGACTAAGAGCGCCTTCAACACGTCTGAAGCGCGAAAAATCTGTTTGAAGCAGATTCTCACACTTAGGCGCTGAAGCCACACACGCCGTGCTCAACCAGTTCTGTGCCCAGAAGAGACTGCACATCAGTTCAGTGCTTCGGTGCGACTGTAACCTTCCTAAAGGGCAGTCTTCTTATGGATAAACCATCCATCCGATCCGAAAAAAACTCTAGTAGCTCAATGGATTACAAGCAATGGAATAGTAGACGTTACAAAAGTACACACTTTCAGCCCCAGAACATCTCCTCACGTTCTGCCGTTCCTGCAACTTTGTCCCAGTCCGACTCTAAAGCGATCCAGCCCCCATCCGATGCCGGATTGTCACACTTTCCTCCCGCCGTACTTCTCTTCCCTCGACTGCCAGTCTCACCTGACTGCCGGCCTGTCCAGGTCGTGGCCCCACTGCAACCACACCCACGGGATCCGGCATCTGCATGACGCTCCACTGTCCCTGCAGATACTCGCGGCCGTCTTGAAGACCCACCGGCCAGACCCAGTCTAGCTCCATGAAGTCATGCTTCATTGAGCACATAGGCTCCGTTCTTCCTCTTCGCCCGGCTGCGTGATCTATCACGAGGATGGTCATGTTTACGTTCGAATCCTTCAAGATGGGTACGGTGGTAAGGGGAAGGGACAGGCGTATGGGGAACGTCGGGTCTGTCAGCGACGGGTTGAACGTTTGCTGGGACGGGTCGTAGAGGTCGAGGTTGGTGATGGCGTCGTCATCCGTATTCTTGAAGTAGTTCAAATCGCGGATGACCTGGCAAAGCAGTGGCTGCGAGAAAGGCCCTGGGATGACTATCTCCGACCGAGCGGTGTCGATCTCCCCAATGAGGGGGATAGAAACGGGCAAGAACCCATCCTGTGCATCGCCAAAACATGTATTTCAGTATTGCAAGGTGGTTCAAAGACGTTCGCTGCGCACCATGACATAAACCTGTGCCTCCACCAGTGCTGTCCGCCCCTGTTCCCATGCGTCGCTGGGCCTCAACAGAGATAGAGTAGGATGAAACCTGTTGCTCTCCCTCCAGAACTTGCGCAACGCTCCCATGAAGACCCATCCGCCAAACCTCGGAGGGCGTCTGAGTTTCTTCGCGCATTGGAGCATATAAGCTGTCGTTCTTGGAGTCGACTGGATGCGACTGGGCTTCATTCGGCAAGCAGCGTCGTCGCGCATTACACACTATATAGGGGACAAATCAGACTCGAGAATATGACTAGCATGGACCTGTACTACTCACATAGTCGAACAGCATACCAAATGGTCCTTCTCCAAGCACACCACGGCGACATGGTCGATCGCGGGGAACGTAGTGCACTCTCGCGAATGCTTGCACACTTCTTCGAATCGCGGTCCGTGTTGAGCGAGGATGGCGATAAGAGCTTGGTCGACAGGAAGTGGAGTAGACATGGTGGACGGAGGTTGTGGAGAGAAATAGGATACAGTCCACAGCTCTGAGAGTGGCGTCAAGGAATAAGCCAGCGCCTGGCCTTTGAGCGCCGGAGCCACAACGAGCCACACCGAGTTGTAATGAGTTCCGTAGCTCACAAGACATTCGTTCTCACTTAACAAGTATTACAATGGATTTCGTCCCACTTAACGAGTATTACAATGGATTGTGTAGTAAGAGGAGGTATCTATATAGTACACCAAAGAAACATTCAATTCACTGGGCGACAAGTATACGAGAAACCGAGACACCGCAAGAATCGTCCCAACTGGCGAAGAATAATTCAGTACCCATCAGAATCGAGCTCCCAGAGTGGCTCCCCCTCCAATTCAGCGTCCTCGTCAGACATTCCCTCTATGTCTAAGTCCATTGCCTCGTCTTCTTTTTCCAAATTTACCTCCTTTGTCTGCGCTACCCCGGGCGTTCGCACCACGAACTCGTCCTCTTCAGGCTGCGCCGGCACTCCTGTGGATAGACGTAGTGGGAGTAGAGCGCTTTGGCAGGTATCCTCCTTGTACTGCCTGTGATTTGGGAGGCCCACCGGCCAGATAAAGTCCAGCCCGATGAAGTTGTACTTCAGCGAGGACATAGGCTCCATGGTTTTGCGTCCCGTGGCGTAGCTTCTCACGTACTTTGTCATTACAACATCGTAGTCCCTAATAATAGGAACGTGGTCGAGGGGAGGGACAGGCGGATAGGAAAGGCGTCTGTCATGTCCGCCGGTACGAACGTCTGGGATGCCGCGTTGTACAGGTCATAGCTCGGCGTGGGCGGTCGTGGGTTTTTAAAGGGATTGAGCCCCGGTATGGCCTGAACAAGCAGGGGTTGTTCCTCCGGACCTGGTATATTGATTGCAAACCCGGTGGGCTCTATGATCCCTATGAGGGGGATGGAAACGGGGAGTAATGCGTCCTATGCATCCCCCAAAGACGTCAGTCAGTAGACGTTAGCTATGAAATACGTTGGAGACGCACCTCAACATAAAAGAGAATATCTACTAACGCGGCCCGTCCCTGTGGCCCCTGTGTCTCCGCAACGTAGGGAGGCCACTGGTAATTTAGCAGAGGACGCGACCGCTTCCAATCCTCGTAGCACTCGGGAACAGCACCCATCAACACCCATCCGCCGAACTTCAGAGGAGGGTCATGCGGCTGATTGGCGGCCTCCACCATGAGTTCCCTGTCTTCTGTATCGATCTGGGTACTGCTGAGTTCCATCGGGCAGACATCCGTTCCGTCCATAAGACACTGATTGAGGGCGAGAACTCAGACAGCCACCCTGGTTGATAAAGTACTGAGGAAGTACTTACATAGTCGAACAGCATACCGAAGTTGTCCCTTTCCAGGCAGACGACTGTAACATGGTCCATCTTGTCGCAGAAGTTGCATGGCCGTGATGTGCTCCAGACTTCATCCAGAGTTGTCGTTACAGTGAGTGCAAAGATCTTGAATAGGCGTTCGTCAACATTTCGAGGCGTAGGCATATTAGGATAGAGGTGTGGGGAGAGGATATGCTTAGGGCAGTCTGAAGAGCGCTGTCAACACGTTTAAAGATGTTGAAACCGATTTGAAGCAAACTCTCACCGTTAGGCGCCTAAGCCACACTGGCATCGCACCCGGGCCCTCCGCCCGATGTAGGCTATTGGAGGAAATCAGAGAGTCAAGATATGGGTCCGTATTACAATTGAGCTGTGGTTTTTGGAGGTTGTGACACTTCACGGACGTCGTTGCAGCACAATTGAAATATATAATAACATTTTCAAGCCTACTCACAGCTCGCATGGTATCAGAGAGCCTTCTGAGAGGATCTCCCAAATCTCCACCTCCTCCTGGACGTCAACGTGAGTAATTTCTCTTCCGTCAAGCTGAAATCCCAGAATTTCCGAAATTTCCCTGTCATCCTTCGCTCCCGCCGCTTGAGCCTCACCATGCGCCTGCCCTGTCCCAGCCTCCACCTCCGAGTCGCTGTGCTGAGCATTGGCAACCGGTTGCAAATCCTGAACGGTACAGTCCTCTTCCCCAATAAGCGGTCGCACGGCTACTGTGCCGTCGGAGCTCCCTCGATCTTCGATGTGCCAGTCCGCCTTCAGACATTGACGGCGCTGCGGGACTGTTGGAGCCGACAATCCGTACGTCGTCCTCGCCGGCTCTCCGGCTTCGTACTATACCCGTTTTTTCGTTCTTTACTGCATGCTGCTTACGCGCTGTCCGATGCGCCGTTCCGTTCTCTTATCCCGCCGTGCCCGCCGTGCGCATCCGTACATTCATTACCATTTACGGACAGTCTCGTATCTCGTACCTAACTCGCTCGCTCGCCCACTTATACCCTCGCGCCGCGTTCGCACCCTCAGTTCTTGCCTCGTCTTCCCGAGCACGATCTGAGGGTGAGTAGTTAGCTTTTGTGTCTCGCATACCTGTACTCACTTACTTCGTAGTCGTCGTCTGTTTGCTACAGGTATGCCAATACAGTTCTTGCCTCGTCTTCCCGAGCACGATCTGAGGTCGTCGTCTGTTTGCTACAGCCTGACGACTCGTGCTCGCTCTGTTGGTTGCATTAGGTTATGAGCCCCGCGTTCTAGCCGAAACAAGACTCACCCTTGCTCGCTTCATTCCACCCACTCCTTTCCTACTCGTCGTAGTCCATTGCCGCCGCTATGACGAGTACGTCACTCGCCGACTTTAGCTCAGCCTTTGAGAGGCTCGAGGCTACCGGGAAGAACTGGGTTACCTTCCGACAACGCTTCCAGATCGCTGTGAAGCAGAAGGATGTTTGGGAGCACTTCGATGGGACGTCGCCGCGCCCGACCCCTGCCGATCCCGCACACGCTACGCCAGCGGAGCTGACAACAATCGCTGCCTGGGATAAGAAGGAATCATTAGCGATGTATCTCCTCACCCAGAAACTGCCCGACATCACCTTTACGAAGCACGCCCGAAAAGGCACAGCCGCCGCCATCTGGGCCGCGATCATCCAGGAGTTCACTTCGAAGTCGCTTCTCTTGCGCGCGAACCTTCGTACCCAATTCTTGACTATGCGTGCGACGCCTGGCGCGAATCTCCACACCGAGCTTGATCGTGTGTGCGTCAAGTACGAGGAGCTCCTGACAAACGACATCACGGTCAGTGAGGCCGAGTATGCTGCCTTGATCATCAATTTCCTGCCCGACGACATGTCGACTTTCGTTTCTCAAGTCTCTGCCACTGCGAAGCTCGCCCATGGTTTCCAGACCTCGTCATCTGCTACCTCTCCACTCGCTGACTCGGATACGCCTACCGAGGAAGCTCCTGCCATCAAGGCGACGACTCTGATGGAGATCGCACTTGAGGAGTGGGACCGTCGTACCAGTGGGAGCCAGAAGGCTAAGGCGAAGCAGAAGGACGCCGGTGTCGCCGCCAGCGTCATATCGACAGAGAAGCCGAAGCCGAAGGGGCGTCGTGGTCCGCAGAAGCCGGTCGGCGTGTGTTGGAACTGTGGTGGGAAAGGTCATCGCCAGGATCAGTGTCCTAGTCCGAAGCAGGATAGCGACGCGAAGGGAAAGGACTCATCTGCCACGTCCAAGCCCGATGCGTCGAAATCCACCTCTGCGAAGCCGAAGAACGGCAACGCGAACGCCGCCACCACTGCCGCTGTCGCCTCGCTCGATGAAGTTGCGGGCGCATGGTCCGCCTACATCTCGCTCCCGAAGGAGTTCGTGTACTCTGACTCGTCGGATGATGAGTCGGCTGGTCTGTTTGATGACGATGCACGCTCCGACATCACTGGGCTTACCGAGCAGTCGGACACGCCGTCGGACGCAAACTCTATGCCGTCGTTGCAGACGGTGTCGAGCACGACGGACTCCGAGTCTTCGCACAATGGGGAGGATGCTCCTGTCCCCACGCCCGTCCCGATCACCGCTCGTCTCAGTGCTGTTGCCAACTGGCTGGACGACGTTGAGGTAGATGATCCGGGAGTCGTGACCGCCGAGACGTGGCGCCTGGCGATGGACGAAGAGTTAGCTCAGCCTCGCGAACCTGCCCAGGATGATGATCCTGCCATGTACAGTACCTCTGCTGTGACCACTGCCGCCTTCGTTGCCGCCGAATCTACCCCCGTTGACTTGTACGATTCGGGCGCGAGTCACCACATGTCGCCGTATCGGGAGGATTTCCTTTCCTTCCGCGAGATCAAACCGCAGACGCTTAACGCCGCGAACCAGCAGCACTTCGAAGCTACTGGTGTTGGGGACATGATTGTCTCCGTGCCTAACAACACTGCGTCGAGCTCGCAGATCCGCTTGACGCAGGTCCTGTACACACCTGCGCTGGGGTTTAACCTCATCTCGATTGGGCGGATCGATGACGCCGGGTACTCTGCAACGTTCGCCGGCGGGCAGTGTATTCTCGCCGACAAGGATGGGCGCACCATCGGCGCCATCCCGAAGTCTCGTGGCCTGTATCTGGTCACTCGTCCACGCTCGACTGGGTCAGCTAATGCCGCGGCCAAGGTTGAAAAGCTTACCGTGATGGACCTCCACCGCCGGTTGGGTCATATCGCGCCGCGTGCGATACGAGAGCTTGTGTCTGGAGGACGCATCACCGGAGTTGCCCTGGTGCCGTCGGACGAACCCGAGACTTGCGAAGTTTGCATCCGTGCCAAGTCGACACGGAAGTCGGTCCCTGCCGTGCGCGAAGGTGACCGTGCGGACGAGCTTGGTGACGAGACCCACTCTGACCTGTGGGGCCCTGGTCGGGTCGCTACGCTTGGTGGTCGGAAGCACTACATCAGCTTTACGGATGATGCGACACGCTGGACGTTAGCTTACCTGCTGCGTCTGAAGAGCGAAGCCTTTGAAGCCTTTAAGGCGTTCGAGGCGTGGCTGGAGAACCACCATGGCAAGCGGCTGAAGGTATTAAACACCGACCGCGGCGGCGAGTATCTCAGCGAAGAGTTTAAGACTCACCTCGAGGCGCGCGGCATCACGCAGAAGCTCTCCGTGCATGATACGCACGAGGAGGCAGGCGTGTCGGAACGCCTAAACCGCACGCTGATGGAGAAGACCCGGGCGATGTTGATCGCATCCGGGATGCCAGCGAACCTCTGGGGGGAGGCTGTGATGCATGCTGTGTGGTTGAAGAACCGCACGTCCACCAAAGCGCTCGGCGGCAGGACACCGTTCGAGGCTGTTAATGGACGCCCGCCCACCCTAGTAGGCCTGCCCATCTGGGGTTGCCGTGTTTGGGTACACGACACGTCGACTGGGAAGATCGGCGTGCGCGCGAAGCCTGCGCGATGGGTCGGGTACGACAGTCAGAGCAAAGGCCACCGAGTTTATTGGGAGGAGGCTCACCGCATTACCGTCGAGCGGAATGTTCGTTTCGGCGATAGCTCGCCGCCAGCTGTCGTCGAGGATGTCGAGCTTGAGGGGGAGCAGGAGCCGGGCAATGGCAAGCCCGCATCCACCGCCGACTCCTCCGACTCTGATAACGAGTCTTCTGACGAACCCGCTGTCGGGCCATCTACACCGCCCGCTTCTCCTAAGCCCGAGATCCCTGAACCGCCGCCAGCGCCACGGCCAACGCGCGTCCGCAAGCCGTCGCAGAAAGTCAGTGACATCCTCACTGGCAAGGGCGCAGATAGCGACGTACCTCGCGGTGTGCAGGTCCCAGTTGAGGACAGTGCTGCCGAGCTGCTTGAAGAGGTCTCAGGCGCTGCCATGGCCGCGCAGATTGCTGAGGTCGAGGGCTTGGACCCCCAGTCGCTGGCGGAAGCAAAACGCAGGCCGGAATGGCTGCGCTGGCAGGAGGCGATGCAGGAAGAGCTGCGCGCGCTCGAAGCGCACGGGACGTGGCGTCTCGAGCGGCCCCCGCCGGGCGCGAATATCGTCAGTTGCCGATGGGTTTTCCATGCGAAGAAAGACGCAGCCGGAAGCGTTTACCGTTACCGTGCACGCCTCGTTGCCCGCGGCTTCTCACAGGTGCCCGGAGTTGACTTCTTCGACACCTACGCGCCCGTTGCGAAGATGGCGTCCATTCGGACCCTGCTTGCGTTTGCAGCGCGCCACGACCTCGATGTGCACCAGGTGGACATTAAGAGTGCATACCTGAATGGCGAGTTCGAGGAGAACGAGGTCATCTATATGGCACTGCCGCCAGGTCTGACACTCACCGAGGATAAGTCCCTCGTACTGCGCCTGCTGCGCCCGCTGTACGGCCTTCGCCAGAGCGCGCGGAACTGGCACCAGAAGCTGCGCGGCGTCTTGCAGAAGCGCCTCCGCATGTCCGCATGTGACGTGGACCAGGCCGTGTTCTACCGCTCGGAGCGCGGCAAGCTCATTGCAATGGGCGTACACGTTGACGACCTGACGATCGTCGCGTCAGTAGGGCTTATGGATGAGGTGAAAACGAACCTACGGAAGGACTTCGAGATCACGGACGAAGGAGAGATCCACTGGATCCTCGGTTTCGCTGTTGAGCGTGATCGCGAGGCCCGGACCCTCTCGCTTTCGCAGGTAGCGTACATCGAGTCGATCCTGCGGCGGTACAACCTCGAAGACGCGCGGCCCGTGTCCTCGCCGATGGACCCGCACGTTCAGCTGTCTGCCACACAGTCGCCGCAGACGACCGCCGAAGTCGCTGAGATGCGCAACATCCCGTACCGAGAGGCAGTTGGCTCGCTCATGTACGCGTCGCTGGGCACTCGTCCTGACATCACCTACGCCGTCTCTATCCTTGCTCGTTTCTCGCAGAACCCTGGGCGCGCTCACTGGGAAGCCGTCAAACGCGTTTTTCGCTATCTCGCTGGAACGAAGAAGCTGAAGCTCACCTACGGTGCTATCTCGCTCGACCTCGTTGGGTACACCGACGCAGATGGGTCGATGCACGAGGATCGCAAGGCGATCTCTGGGTACGCTTTTCTCATCGACGGCGGCGCGGTCTCTTGGGCATCGAAACGCCAGGAGATAATCTCCCTCTCCACGACGGAATCCGAGTACGTCGCCATCACGCACGCGTCGAAGGAGGCCCTTTGGCTACGCTCTCTTATTGGCCAGGTCTTCGCGCCGTTCACGGAGCCCATCCCGCTTAACTCTGACAACCTCGGTGCCATCGCACTCACCCAGGACCACCAGTACCACGCCCGTACGAAACACATTGACATCCGCTTTCACTTCATTCGCTGGGTCATCGCCGACAAGAAGCTCACACTCGTTTACTGCCCGACCGACGAGATGGTTGCCGACGCGCTCACGAAGGCGCTACCGAGTCCCAAAGTCAAGCACTTTGCGGCTGCACTCGGACTCGTTTAGGATTGAGGGGGAGTGTTGGAGCCGACAATCCGTACGTCGTCCTCGCCGGCTCTCCGGCTTCGTACTATACCCGTTTTTTCGTTCTTTACTGCATGCTGCTTACGCGCTGTCCGATGCGCCGTTCCGTTCTCTTATCCCGCCGTGCCCGCCGTGCGCATCCGTACATTCATTACCATTTACGGACAGTCTCGTATCTCGTACCTAACTCGCTCGCTCGCCCACTTATACCCTCGCGCCGCGTTCGCACCCTCAGTTCTTGCCTCGTCTTCCCGAGCACGATCTGAGGGTGAGTAGTTAGCTTTTGTGTCTCGCATACCTGTACTCACTTACTTCGTAGTCGTCGTCTGTTTGCTACAGGTATGCCAATACAGTTCTTGCCTCGTCTTCCCGAGCACGATCTGAGGTCGTCGTCTGTTTGCTACAGCCTGACGACTCGTGCTCGCTCTGTTGGTTGCATTAGGGACATCCATTGGCCAGACGAAATCGAACGCCATGAAACTCGCCGTCATAGAACACATCGGTACGAGGGGCTTGAGACCGCGTGAATAGTCCCCCGCATCCTCAGTGAGGGCTACGTTCGATTCTTTAAAGACGGGGACATGTTTGAGAGGGAAAGGAAGGCGGAAGGGCACCGCGTGCAAGCAGGCGGGGATGAAGGCGTTGGCATCGACACTGAAGAGATCAAATGACATCCCTAGTGGCTGTTCATGACTCTTCCACTCATTGAGCCCGCGAAGAAGCTGAGTCGTAAGTGGTTGGTTGAAGGATATTTCGATCTCGTTGTCGAGTACATCCCATATGAGGGGCAAAGAGAGCGGCGGATGCCTGTCCTAGATTATGTCACAGTCTGAGAATGTCATGAAACATGTTGAATGATTCATTGTGTCTCACCAGCACGTAGAGCATCGTCTCCACCACAACTTTGGACGCTTGCCCCTGAAGACACGTCGGCACAAATACCCCCCATGGCTCTCCAGAATAGAACCCAACAGCACCCATCCTCCCAAAGTTGCAGGCGGGTCTAGCGCGTCGATCGCGCCCAGAGCACGCCTCAGATCTTGTTTATTTCCTTGAACGTGGCTTAGCTTTGCAGGGCAAAGTGAGCAGTCGTTCATTAAGCACTAATATAACACAGCAGGTGGTTGGTTTGAATCACTGAATAAGAGAAATAATGTACTCACGTAGTCGAAAAGCACGCCAAAGTTCTTCCTTTCGAGGCAGACCACCGTAATGTGGTTAATCTCGGGGTTTTCTGGACACTCCTGGGCATAGTGGGCGGTGATTCCGTAGGAAGGTAGAGCTGGAGCCAGTAATCGAAGCACTCGCTGATCCAAACGGACCATGGTTGTGTTCTGTGCAGAAGGTTTGAAGATGTTGGACCGACAAGCAGGGTGTTTTGCGTCAGGCCAGCTGTAGTGACTGTCTGTAGATAGGTATGGTGCGGCGCCTCTCGGCCGGTATACAAAGTTCTCACTCACAAGCGCTCAAAAGCGGAGAATACCTAAGTCAAGGACTTCTCATTGGGACTACACTACGCGTATATTTCTACCACATAGTCTGATACGAGTACATGCTTGCCCAGTTGTTAATAAAAAGCTTGTCAGCTTTGTCAAGAACATTCTCAGAGGTCCAGTCTGGCGGAACAACACCTTGAGACCTATCTGGATACGCCGGTACCAGTTGGCAAGACTGGCGTATTTGTGATACTGGGATGATTTTGCCTTGCGGCAGACCATCCGAGCGTAGCGGCGGTCGATTGACTGCATACATGAGATGCGTTGGATCAGCTGTACCGGAAAACCGAGTGTACCACTCCACATAGGCGAGCGGTCCTTTGGGCCACCATGCGGGGGCCGATCCGCCTCCTCGCCTCGCGTGAAACTTCTTGGGTAGCGTGAATATAACCTTCACTCTTCCCGCTCGCGTACCTACGCAGTAAAAGATGAATAACTGGGAGAGGTGCATAAACAATAACAATACCTTGTACCCCGGTGGACTCGGCCTGCTCGTTCTCGAGCACAATGACTGTGTCGAAGCGAGATTTTCTCCCCTTCGCAATGGATCCAGGGATGCATTTTACAACGTCTATCTCCTCCCTACCGTCGGACAACTCGCAAGGGCTGAAACGAAACTTGTGATAGACGTCGACACGATCAAAGGGTAGCCAGGTGCGCGCGAATTCGCGTCGATTAAGTCGAAGTTCTGAGGGCTGTAAATCGTTGATGAAGGTCGCCAGGGCCGTGGTGAATCCAGGTGCGCAATGGAGCTCTTGTATCCGCGTAAGATGCTGCTGAGGTGCTGGTGCGTACTTCGCAATTTTGACCGTGCTGCCCACATCCACCAGCTCGGAGTCGTCCGGAGGTCGTTCAAGGTTCTCCGCATCCTCGCCCGGGCTACCTCTACCCTCCGCGTCGTCCATTTCCGCCGCGTCGTCCATGTCCGCCGCGTCTTCCTCGGCCTGCTGTTCCTTCTGAAACACCTCATACAACATCATCTTCTCTCGGCGGCTGATCCACTTCACCATCTGGGGGAATTCGTCTCGGTGATTGGACGCCCTCCACGCATCCTTCGCGAAGTCGATGTGAAGACGCTCAAACATCTCCGTATTGTAGTTGTCCGTGGTGCCAAAGAGACGGATAGAGTCGACGTAATGGAGAAGGGAGTGGAATTTTGGGATGTTGAGGTGGTCGCGTATACCCAGCTTCACCAAGATGTCCTTGTGCTTGTGAAACGTGTTCAGGGCATCTGTCATGTATCCAAGGGTGTCGTCGTCGTGCGTCGGGTACTGCGCGAGGTAGATGAAATCGAGGAGGGAGCGAAAAGCGAGAAGGAGAGACTTGGGAATCTTGCCTATCAGACAGGCCAGGAGCACACGAGCCATGTCCTTGCGCTCTTTGCCAGTGATCTGCGAGAGGGACGAAATACCGTGCTTGAAGTGTCGGATGCCATAGGCCTTGGGAAGCGTGCGCAGACGCCTATCTAGCTCCTTGGAGCCCAGGATATCCTGACACCAAGATACCAGGTGCTTGAATACGCCCTGGTAAAGCTGATGCAAGACGTCTGGGGTAATGGAGAGGTGGATGTCTGTGTACGGCAAGTCCACCCAGAACGGTTTCTTGACCCCGCCACTGACGTCTTGCTCCATGCACGCCCCTTCAGCGGCAGAGGCATTGCGGCTGTTCTTGTGGGCATCAGCGATGATTTCTTCGGTAGCGTCTGAGGTCCGAGGGTCCGAGGGTTCCTCTTGCTCGAGTTTGTCAGAGGGACATTGGCATTTGGGACATGTTCCATACTTCGAGCATGTCACTAGACACTGCTCGGGGTAGTCCGCAACGTAAGCCGCGAGGATGGGATGGACTCGCCGGACTGAGCCGTCTCCTCCTGTTACCTCCATCCCCTCCACGCCCGCATGTGCCAGGGGCTTGAGAATGATTCGCATGGCAGCGTGGAAGAGCCGTTGAGACCTCGCCTTGCGTTCGCGTTTAGTGAGCTTCTCGCCGCCAATCTTGGAGACAGGGAGGTAGCCAAGGAGAATACAGGCGTGCTCAGATGGTTTGCGGCGAATGGCGCGGGGAATGTTACCGAGGGTGAGGTATACAGGATATGCCGACTTGTTCCCGGAGAACTGAGTCAACTGCGTCTTGTCCGTGGAGATAATCACTGGCGCAACAGCAGCGCCTTCTGGTAGTAATTGCTGTCATGGGCTTGCCTGTAAGTAGCATGTCAGGAGTGGACATAAAATAGACCGACCTGCACAGAATTCCACCATAGCCCCATCCACATCTCCGTGAAGATCTGCTTCATTCGAGACCGGTCGGCAAAGACTCGTTTGGGTCGATACACGATATGTTTTGCGTATGATGGGTTGCCAAGAAGTGCCTGAATTGCCTCCAAAATGTCTCGATATCGCACTAGGTGCATCTCATCTGGTCTGTCTGGGAACGACAACGAGGACATCTTCCACGAGGCTCTGTCGGGTATGCTATCAACCCTCATAAAAAGCTCCCGAACATCTTTGAAGGTTAGGCCGAGCTTCTCGACAACCTACAAACGAAGATTGTACATCAGAGCACAACGTATTCAGAGGTATTTCGGAGACTTACGCCAGGTATGCATAAAAATCTGTTCATGGCCTTCTGGCCCACGTCCTCTCGAATAACCCACATGGCCACTCGCCAGTCCAGCTCGGAAGCAAAAGGCCTCCACTTCTGATTTTTGTCTTGCTTCTCCCCTGGCGGTTGGTCATCGCCATCTACGTCCATTCTGTCGTCCTCATCCACCTCCAAATCCTCGCTCTCTTCTCCAAAATAGGCTCTCCACGTCTCCACAATCGTCTCCTCCATTCGTATAACCTTCCCGGCGAGAAGGTCTTCTTCTTCCAATCTTGTGTCGTCTTCGTCGTCCAACTCTGGCATATGGGGGGGCCGCAAGGGCGGCCGGACAGGCTGACAATTGGATGAAGACGCCTCGGGCTCTCCGTCGTTCTGAGAGAGTGAAGGAAGAGGATCGTCAGGGAGATCGAACCTGAATAGGTCTCTATTCTGGAGAACATCCAGAAGGTCATCGGGGTCCACGTCCATTCGCCCGGCAGCAGGGTCGTTGACTTGTTCGTTGTTTTCAATAACTTCTGGCGCGAGCGATACTGGGTCTCTGTTCTTCCCTTTATTATACCATCTGCAAGACCTCGCCGTGCTCAAGTGAGCCATCATTCCTTGCGCTGTCCTGAACTCCCTATCACAGGCTGGACATGTGCGCTCATCGGGGTCGCCTGGCCATACAAATGGAGCATTTCGACGGGTCATGCTAACACTGAATACTATTTGTTAGTCTACTTGATTTAATGGATTACGCCTCAGATACTGTAATCTCACCTGCGTCTGCGTGTTCAACCTATCTGAAGATGATGAAGAGAAGCAGCGCTGGCAGAAGAGCGGAAGAAACGTGCTCGTGGGCACGTCGTAGCGTCTGACGCCCATGCAATAATAGACTATGAGGTAAAGCCCGGCCGCGTCTCCGCGTCCTTGTGTCTCACACCCACCTCTATGTTCGATTCGCACAGCAACGCACCACACGATAAGTGAGATATGAACTGCTCTAGCATTGTAGGTGTAAGTAGTGAGGGAATGGCACACTTGAAGTCTTATCCTGTCCTATAGTGCATCCAATACCTTCCTGCCATGCCCACGCAGCATGAGCTCTTGTCTCGTCGTTGGCATTGGTTGGTAAGCTTTTCTTAATATCTGAGCTCACTCACCTGTCGGACGAGCAACTAACATGTTCCCGCCAGAGTGGCGCACGTTGAGCAGCACTTGCCTTATATGGTGTTGGCAAGTCGTTGCCAACATCGTTTTTCCCTCTTCACATACGTATCAAGCCTACTACTGCTCCGTGGACATCCATAAAGTCTAAGGTAAGCCTTACCTTTGCTGTTCCGACGAATTTAAAGTGGACGTGTCCAGCAGTAGGTGCAAAGCCTGCAGGTCGGTCAGTTGGGTGGCGTAGGTGAAGAGGACTTGGGCCACGGCGAGCGCCGGCTAAGTCAGATTGTGTCTGTTGTTCCGACGCTGTTCCCGTGCCCGACGTTCAGGCTAACGGATCCTCCCTTTACTCAAGCCACCTCTGATAACCAAGACATCGCTCATGAAGTCTCCTCCTAGCTCTGACACCGACTCTGACAATGGGTCGGCCCGCGACACTGATAGCTATGGCTCCGAACCTGGCTCAGAGCCGAGCGTCCCGGGCTCAGACTGGGATAACACGCAGCCAGGCACCCCCATTGACCCTCAGCAGCCCGCGCACATCGCGCTTTACTCCCCTGGCCACTCATTTGAAGAACGCGACCACTTGATTCTCCCCAGGTCACTGCTTCATGATGCCGAAGGCTCTCAGCCGTCCCTAGTACCGATGTCTACAGGACCTAGTAAATCCCTGTCCGCCGGCCTCCCCGGCGGTATTCCCCCAAGTTCTGGGACCTGTTGAACAGCGGAGACCTCAAGCAAGGAGAGTATTACAGGCTGCGGGAACACTTCTACGAGATCCGGAAGCTTCAGTTGGAGTGGGAGCAAGCCGGCTGCAAGGGCTTCGTGACCAAGGCAAGCCAGTTACATAGAGAAATATACCTTGACAGCGTATTGACCAACCACTTTAGGATATCACAGTCGGCATGAATGAGCGGTCGTATGCCCTTCTGCAGCAGAAGCTCGATCAGAGTTGGGAATGGTCGCTCGGCGACGAGGGAGAGCATGATCATTGGGTGGCGTTCCTGCGGTGCACACAGTGAGTTGAGAAACACATTGTTTACATGACCGCACCGTTGACCTAGTTGAAGACTCGACTTCTGGCCGACGCTAGGCAAGGCAGTGGCAATCGCACCGACTTTTGAGGAAGAGTTGACCTACCTGATCACCAATCACTTCGCCGAGATGTTCCGCATGAGTGAACCCGAGCCTTTGGCGTCTACTGCGAGAACGTCCGCCAGGAGCATCATCAAGACTCCCGATGTCTATTTCAGCTCTAGGTACAACACGGTGTACAAGGAAGCCATCCAGGGTAATAGCCAGCCCGCCTCAACACCGTTCTTATGCTTAGTCGCTCAGACCGTCGAAGAATTCATTTACAACGTCAAGAAGGTTCGTCTGGTCTTCTTTGTGGCATGGTTGGCGTAGTATCTGAAACAGCAATAGATGGTGTCCATTGTGGAGTCGAAGGCTCTGCATGCACTGCAAGGATTTATCTTGGTGTTGGTCAAGCAGGCGGATGGTGTGGTTGGTGCTGACAGGATATATCACGCTAACTCCTTGCGCCACCTCATGTTTAACCTGCACACAAAGCACGGCTTCGGCGACCCAAAGACTCCTCCACAAATGGAATGTGGCGTCCTGTTCTACGGATGTCAGCAGTTTCCTGACTTCCTGGTGCTTGCGAAGCAAGCATCTACGATGCAGCACTGGGAGAAGGGCAATTTCATGGTATGTACGTTATTGAAAGTTCTGTTGTCCAGCTCTGACGGCACTCAGTGGTTTACGGGGGCACGCAAAGGGCCGCAGGCCGTTCCCAGCGCCGCATGGGAACTGTTCGAGGCGTTCGTACACTCAACAGTGGCCACGTACACCGCATACGTCAAGGCTACAGGTTGCTACCGCGTCCCCCCCATCTCCGACGCAGTTCCCACGCAATTGGAGAACACATACCGCGACTCGCTAGTGGGATCACTCCCACGGCGCATAGCGGGCGATCTACGGGATGATGTGTACAGGGTGGCGGAGCGGATCTGGTCTATGAAGGAAGGCAAGGGACGTACGGACATCCTAGCTGCGTCGGCGCCTTACGGGCCGGAGGGAGTATTCCGCTGCTATCTAGCCTAGTAGTATTTCGAGGTGACGTCGTCTTCGTGCTTGTAACAGTGGAGCTTGTACGCAATGTATCGTGGAATGCCTATCGCTTGGATAACCTGATGCGGAACTGCACGGCAATGTCAACAACAACATGGCCGGGACGATCTGCAAGAAGCGCTGGGTGGCGGAAAGGTGATTCAAAAATGAGATTGCTCAAAAGCACACGCCGCGATAGTCCCCGAGCGCTGTCACCTGTGAGAACAGAAGCGCGTCCGCCGTGTTACGCATGGTGGACGCGATTCTGATCGCCCAGGATCACTATATCTCCACTTCATCCTTCATGACTGTGGGGGAAGTCCACCTAGGTCTTACTGCGGTGGTGTCGGCGGGCGTATCTGCCAAACTTGAAGCTCTAGCCACTTTGGCCGGTATGGAGAGCTCTGTCCTCTTGAACGACGAACTGGACGTCGGCGGCGGTTTCAAACCAGACACCGTTGTGTCTATCAGCATCGGGATGAGTCGCACCGCCGCGGGACACATAGAGTCCATGTCGTCAGAGTCTACCCCTCATGCAGGAAGAAAGGTGAGATTCGTTCTTTGATCAAACAAGGCCACTGACTCCGGGATGGCTCGCAGCTTGCAGACGAGATGGCGGCTGGTAAGGAGGGGGTCGTAGGCACCATTTTCGTCGTAGCCATTGAGAACCGGTACCGCAAGTCTCGAGCGCCCCAGGACCATATCATCAGAGGGTGGAAGAAGCTGGCCGAGGAGAGGGGGATGAGTGATTCAAGGCGATGGGGGAAGTGGGGGTATCGCGGGTGGAACCCGACAAAGGGAGGTCAGAAGTTCCAGTCCTGGGACCTCAGTCGCGGTGCGGCGAAGCAAAACCCGGCCCTGTTGGCCTCGAAGTTGGGCCATCGCAGCACGCCCGGCATCACCTACCAAGGCCACGTTCTGGCAGGATGTGTTGATGCATTCGTCACTTTCCTTCCTCGTTCCTCGTACCCAAGGGTAGAGGCCGCGCTGCAGAACCCAAATTTCAAGTGGACGGCCGAGAATCTCAAGAGGGAGTTCGGATTTTTGGTGAGCAGATATATGTTTCGTAGCGGTAACAGTCTCTGAACTACTACTTCAGCCCATCTCCCCAAACGGGCGGGTAGATGAATTCGTCAACACCTCCCATCATGTGCGCGAGTTCTACTACACAATGTTCAAATCTTTCTTGGCCACCGCCGCGTATGAAGAGGTTGCCGACGTCATCGATTTTGACGACAATCCGTTTCAACATCTTCCAGAGCCGTTTAAGAGGCGCGTTGATGTCCTTCTCCGGGACTCGACGGACTATAATGCCTTCGTCGACGTCGACGCAGACCACGCCTCCCGGGAGATTTTTGAGGACAGCGAGGTCTACCGCAATCTCTCACCGGAGCAGCTATGCTCGGCATCTCGCGACATGTCTCGCGCCCTGACTCGCTTCTTGGAATTAGTGGCGGATACCAGATTGAGGGCCATGCTGGAAAACGTTAGCTAGGATATATTGTATATCATATAGTACTACCCCACGCCAACACGATCGACTTGAAAGCTCCGTAACACATACTAGCGCCCACAACCGCGATCGCGCGCGCAAGCATGAACACTCACCAGAAACATCTCTTGTGGCTATCTTCCGATGAGAGAGAAGCTTTGAAGACGTTTCTCGGCATGTCCTCAGACCTCCCGCCTCAGCTGTCACCTGTACTAGACCGACTTCATCAAACAGGCGGTTCCAAGGACTCCGCAAACACGTTGGCCTTGTCGGAGGTGCAGCCCAGTTCATCAGATGCTAGCGTGCAAGGTGCAGGAATGCAAGATGCAGGAGCTGAGGTCATACACAGCGGTACGACTGTTCAAACCATCAATCACCGAGGTTGTTATAACTCTTTACAGGACCTTCGCAGGCAGATGCTGAAGTCGGCAGTCGGCGCCGTTCAAACCGCTCCAAAAAGTCGCTGTTCCATAGGGTCTCTCAGCCTACAAAACCCGCCAAACAGCAGCCCAAAGTGGCCGGAAGACGTGCAGATCGCCAACCCCTCTTGCTTCGAGACTGTAATAGAGGTTCTTCCAAGAGAATATGGGTGCAGCGTGGGACGCCTGCCACCAAGACCACGCCGGAGATCACATCTTTCTTTGCCCGTCTGGCAGCTTCCGTCAACTTGAGCTCCAACTCTACTAGCTGGCAGCTCTCGGCTGTTCATACGTTGCTGGAACGTGGGGACGATGGCAGGGGCTTCTTGGACAATTCAATGGCCTCAATCCTACAGAGGTGTAGCCGGATTACCGCTGGCGACATGTGTATCAATTTCTTCGTCATGGTACATTACATGCAATTAGTCTGCAAGTGCTCGAGGTCAGTACAACACCATCCATAGTAATCCCGTGATAACACCAGTTGATATTGTTATGACAGCCTGCGTCGTGTTAATGACCTAAGTACATGTGGGGTCTATGACCAATTTGTCAAAGGACATCCCTCCGCACCGCCCCAGCGAACATTTACGCATTGGAACGAAATTGGGAGCAAATTTGCTGCGATTGCATGCGGTGGCAAGCACGAATCTGTATCTACAAAACTCACCACTAACGCCATTTATTCAGGCACTATATACGCTGTTCTACTCATTGCTAACGCTGGGCTGCGTTCAGAGATTACGAAGTCCGTTGGCGATTTCCCATGGGCAGTGGCCAACATCCTACGGAATCCGAGTCGAAGTAGGTACACATCTTAGAACCTGTTTCAGAGTGCTTAACTAGCCTTGTATTTATGACCGCAGATACCAAAGCAGGTTCCATCGTCATCGAGACGATTATTCCAGCAATTGACGTACTTCGTAAACAAATACCTCTGCAACTGGACATGTTGTTCTCCCCGGGCGTCCTACACGATCTGGGTCTGACTACGGACAGGCTCCATTGTGGAGATCTGGACCAGTCTGATCAAATGTTTGGCTCCCTGATATTCAAGTAAGCGCACTCACTGCTCAGTATTGCACCGGCTGCTGATATATTGCCAGCAATTTTACATGCGTGGAGCGAGGCAAAGAACCGTGGGCCACATGCCTTATTCCCTTACAATCTCGGGAGACAATTCAGCTTACCAGGGCCAGTCAAGATCTGTTCCGCCGTGAATGTCATGGTGCGACTGACCCTCCTTCGCCAATGTCAGCTATGGACGAAGACCACGAAGACCACATGAACTTGGAGGCTGACGGACCAGGCACAATAGATGCAGTCTGTGACTTGCCCGGCACTTCCCTATCAATGGAGGGCTTTGATCTCCGCTTGGACGAGTATTGTACGTATCCGGTGCCTCCGTCGCCGGAAGAAGCTTTCGCATGGACGGAGACGCAGCGATCGTTCGCCGAAGTAGCGCAGAAGCCACAGACTGTCCTAGCTTTGCAAGACCTGGTACGTTGTGCTCATGAGTTATCAAACTTCTTTACTAAATGCCATGGCGCCGGCCATGTATCAGCTATCAGCAAGATACCAGAATGGCCGTCGGGTTGACTCCCGGCAGTACATTGCAGTCAAGCCTGACATCGCCAGGTAAGCTCTCTTGATGTGAGGTGAAGTACGTGGGCATTAAGGCTGTTTTGAAGCGGACCTCTTCGAATCAACGATTGTAATGGGTCACTCGTTGCATGCATATTCGGCAACATGCCGGACGAGATGCGGAGGACGCTGGCAACAGACTTAATGGTCTGCTTTGAAAACCAGCCGGAGAACCTCAAAGATACATGCTCGGCATTGGAGGGGAGTGAATATAGCTTCCCTGCCATCCATTTATCTTGGTATAATCGGCACGGCACAAGGGTTCGTGCACTCTCAATATTCACGTTGAAGACTGCTAATTTCTCAACCTGCCATTTTAGGGCTATGATGTTCCAGTCCAGAATCATCCCATGCTAATAGAGAAAGATGACAACTCGCGTACGAACTACGGTCAAATGCTCCCATATCCGTCTCATGCCATGCGCAAACACGGGGAGATATATGAAAACATGAGGCACATCTTCGAACACGTTTTTGTGTGGGTTGCTGAACAGGTATGTCGCTCAGAAATATCATCCACGCAAACCAAATTCATAGTCACAGATCGAGCAGACGTTGCCCAATGACTTTGAGGATCTCCGCATAGATGCAGAGGTACTGCCCGGAAACGCTAGCCCGATCGTCTACCCATTCCTTTCTCTTGTCATCAATCTGAATGTCGTGACTCTAGCTCACAGAGATTCCCAAGACAAAGCACTCTGCGTTGTGTTGCCGATCGGAGACTTTCAAGGCGGTGATCTGTGCCTATATGAGCCTGGGCTTGTTCTTCCCCTCCGAAGCGGCGACTTCGTGGCGTTTCCCTCGTCACGTATAACTCACTTCAATTTGCACTTTAACGGGCACCGTGCATCACTTGTACTGCATACGGACAAGGAGATAGACAAATGGACGAAGGAGGGACGGAATGGCTGGGCTGACAATCAGCATTTTCGGTAGCATTGGCGCCGTGTACGTTATATCCCTCGGTTCGTACCTTGCATGTTCGCACCGCAATTGAGCCATGTTACGCATGTCAGAGCTTTGCTTTAGCCTTCGTTCCTCCTCATGTCGTAGTGCTCCTCAACATCTCCTGCAGTCCCTCAAAAGCATTGTATTTTTTCTGGGTTCTTCGGCGGTGTCGGACCCGGCTCCCGCGCATCTCCGCGACTCCGGCTCGGAGTGTATACGATGAGTTTTCACCGCTGGCAAATGTTGGACTTCGACTGTCGCTGACGGTCTGTGTTCACGCATCCTCTGCTATTTCCTCTCACAACATGGCGCCGCGGGAGACTCGCTCCGCTGCAGCAGCCAAAGTCTCGAAGCCCCCGGTCAAGACCCCCAGGAAGCCGAAGAACAGTGCGGCGGCCAAGGTGACGTTGAGCACGGCCGACGTTGAGCCATCTGGTCCCACCACCTCCATGAGCTACCTGGAACGTGTCAAGCTCATGAAGGGTGCAATCCGGGCCCAATTTCCAAATGCCAGCGAGAAGGAACTCGATGTGTCGGCGCGGAAGGCGGTTACAGACATGAATAAACGGATGAAGTCGGACAAGGAGCGTCTCGATGGTGAGTATGCTATATTGCGGTGGCAGTGTGATCTATGCGCTACAGGGAGATACAGGCATACAGGGCGCGAGCAAGGCGATGATGGAGGAGGAGGACGGGAACGAGGAGCAGGTTGACGAACTTCAGGCTACGGAGACGGGATCGGACATGGGCTCTGTGGTCGAGCAGGCAGGACCTGTTACGCCGACCAAGGGCAAGGGCAAGAATACAAGTAAGCAAACAACGTCGCTCTTAAGTGCCACTCCAACTGGTCTCAGAGACGACTGGCGCCACTACACCCATCAAGAACGCGCCTAAGAGGAAGGTCACCATCATCTCGGACGAGGAGGCTAGCGACGCTGAGGACAAGCCGGAGAAGAAGAAAGCGAAGACTCAGAGCCCACGAAAGTCGGCGGCGGCTCGATCCTCCAAGTCTGCCGGGGAGAAGAGCGGCGCAGGTGAGTAGCGTCAAACATGTTTTTTGTACGCTAATGCTCGGGGAACCATCTTCAGGTGGGAAACGTACCGTGGCGGAGGTCGTTATCCCTTCTCCACCTCGCAAGACCGTCTCGAAAGCGTCCAAGGATGAGGAACGCTTGACCGCACTCCTCGGTGAGTGAGGAACTGAACATATATTGACACCGGTTGATGCTTGGTCAGGCAGGAAGGGGGCGAAGGGGGCGAAGAAAGGAAAGCCCTCTCTGGTCGTGCCGGAGAGCAACAGTGATGAGAGCGAGAACGATGAGAGGATGGAGACCGAAGACGACGAGATGGGCGGCGACGGTGAGCCCAGTTCTCTTTTCAATGTTGACATCATGCAATGTTGCAGCTCTACCCACAGGGCACAAGGCTCATTCGATCGACGACGAGAGTGATGAGGAGGAGAGGTCGTATAAGATGTCTGCAGGCGACGATGACGACGACGAGGAGAGTGAGGAGGACTCATGGGTGAAAGATGAGGCAGACCCCGACAAGGTAAGCTTATTCCAGCAGCTGAACTGACGACTGAGATGTTCTCCAGATCATTGTGAAGACTGAGGAGAAGCCTGCTCGCGTGCCGAAGGGGAAGGGAAAGTCGAAGACGGCGAAGGGGAAGGGGAAGGGGAAGTCGAAGGGTCACAAGAAGTCGAAGCCTGACGAGGAGGATATTCTTGCGAAAGAGCCTTGGAAGACCCTCGTGGCGCGTGCGCAGCAAGATCTGAGGGCATACCTTGCCCTGGAGAACGCGTGGCCTCGGAAGAGGGGTACAGATGTAGAGAAGAAGAGCGTACCCAAGCGGATCATGCAGGATATTGCCAAGCATCACCCCTCATACGCCCGCAACGCCGAATTCCAGGAGGACTTCAACAATAATTTTGAATTTCACTGGGAAGCACTGGCCAGACAGGTAAGTGTCGCTCTGGGTGTGGTCCAGTACTCACTTTCAACGTTTCAAGGTCATCAAGGGCGCATCACAGCTCCGCCAGGAGGTCAAGCAGAAGGCCAAACGCGTCGTCGAGAAGGAGTTTATGTCGATCAAGCTGTCAGAGGTCGATGCTAACGGCGCGCCGTTGAGTGCCCTTGCACGGGCACAGAAACTTCAAAGTGCGAAGGAGGCCCGCATCAAATGGCTGAAAACAGACGACGTGTTCCATTATGGGAGCCTGGTGCTTCCCGACGCCAACGTCGATCCTGAGGTATGTGTTCCGTCTCCCGTAAGGGATCTATGCTCACACCAATCAGCTGTGGGAGGAGCCGGAGCTCGACACGCCCTTCCACAACATGGCCATAGCGGAGGTCATAGCTCTCCAGTGGTGGAGCGGACCACACCCGGAAGCTTTTCGCGGGCGCAACAAGGAGCGGTTCGAGGAGGCGTTGAAACGTATCCCGAGCAACATGATTGCGCTCGTGTGCAGTGCGGTGAGTGACATCAATCACATTGGGTAGGGCTACTGACAGTCTGAGCTGTACTACGTCAGCTCCGCGTGGCCCTTGATGAGGCTCTGAAGGGCAATGCTACGGTCAACTTCGATGAGAAGACGTATGCCCCCGAGTAAGCCCAAGTGGTAGCGATCTGCCAGTTATTCATGGTTCTAACGATGCCTGATACAGGCACGACCAGTACAAGGAGAGCGTTGACGTCGTCCGGGAGCTGGGCAACCCAGAGAATGTGTCTTCCGAGGCAGGCTTCATTCGGCTGGCGAAGTCCATGGACACCAACCTGTCGACCAACATAAGGTAAGTTGGCTTCATGTGTGGGATCCCAGTCTGACAAGGGATCTGTGTTCTTGCAGGGCCATGGCAGGGATTCCCGAGGGCGTGGAGGGCGTAGATGGTGGAACGGGCAAGGGAAAACGACCCCCCGGCATCAACTTCGCAAAGGTGAGGGGCAAGTGGGGGAAGCCCGAAGATGCCTCGAGCGCAGCAGCCAGCTCGTCGAAGGCGGCTGATGCAGGGGGGTCCAAAGCTCCGCTGTCAAAGGGGCCTGAGGCTGGCACGTCCCAAGGTGGATCGTCACAGCCCGTAATGCCCGATGCCGCCAGTGGCTCGAAGGGCGAGGAGGAGGAACGAGACTGAGCGGTGGCACGAAGGCATGATCTCATTGCATGGCGCTAATATGGCTACTTACCCTGCTGACAGGCTACGTCGGTGGAAAACTCCGCCTTTCGGGTTGTCTACGAGAACTGTTGTACGATAGTGCGTTCTCTCCTTTGTACCCGTGGTTCTTCCGCTTCCGCATGTCTCCGTGTAACCTTCCTGCCCGGTGCCAATTTGGGGTCTGTTTTTGTCGCTGTATCTTTTGTCAATCTGTCGTTCATACACTGCTCACGTCCCTTACGTCTTATACCTGCTGTACCTTGTTGTATGGACAATGAATGTGTATTTGCACCCGCATACCAGGGAAAGCCGAAATGAATCAGGCAGATGCTCATTCCCAAACATATTTGAATATATTCAGAGGTATTGAGAGCAGTGGGCAGGAAAGGCGTCGACGCAGGGACAGCTTGTTCAGACATATTCAGACATGTTTGGTGCCTGCAAAAGCAGCCGTCCCACTGGGAATAAAAGCCGGTTTAAATGTGTTTATAGGTGTTGAGAGAGCCCATTTTGATGGGGAGAACGCCCCACTGAACTGATTGAAAGACATATGAGAATCCTGACTGGTTCTTCAGAGATGTTGGAAGCCTTCATAAAGAAGCGGGCATTATCCGATCTTTGGGCGCTTATGTCCAAATGAGCGCTTCTTTCAGACGCTCTTCAGGCAAATCAGCGCTCCGCCAACATGTTTCATCAAAGCATGGTTGGCTGAAACACGGGTACTTGTCTTGAGGCTCGTTTGGTGGTTCATACCAGTTTAAACAGGTTTGGTAACTCTCAAACCACCTCAAACATCTTGGGCTTTGTGGGTGTTTTTTCCTGATGAAGAAGGTCGAGGACGGCTACAAACTGAAGCTGTCCATGGTGGTGAACCTGCTGGGCTTACCGGAGAACGCGCGGAAGTTGGCGGAGGCCCTCGGCGACATCGTCGATGACGATGAACTCAACGCCCGCTCCACAGAGTTCGATGAATTCGTTGACAAATTGCTCGATCCGCAAGACAAGCACTTACGCCTTCCGGGCGAAGACATATTATTCGACGCCCATATTACTCAGCTCCTCAAAGCTATCAAGGCGGGTACGAGAGGTACCGCCGTCCAACGCCTGGTCGACAACACGACGGTGGAAAACCAAGCAGAAGGCGCCGTGCAAGGGGGACGTGCTGCACCCAACCCCAAGTTCCAGCCGAATAATGCCCTCCGGGAGCAGTTGAAGTCCATTAGCCAGATGGCACGCAAGCGCAAGCGTTCCGACACCGTCGAGGCAGAGCTGGAGGAAGATCGTGGCCGCGACGGTCCGAGTTCCTCTCGCCAGCAGTGACCTTGCACGCTTGACAACGACTAAAAACGTCGCACATTGTCACGTCTCGCTGTTGTACGTCTCGCTGTTGTGTGTCCCGCATCACGGCCGTGGCCCTTCTATCGTACATTCGTCCCCGTTGTGTCGTCATCTGATTGTAGTGCTGTACGAGTATGTGTACCCTCTGTTGATCGTCTCTACCAACGCTGTCATAACTATGTCTCATCGCTATCTCTTCGCTGTTCGCTGATTGTCGTAGCTTGTACTACTATTGTCGTCGTAGCTTGTACTGTAGTCGCAGCCTGCACTGTCGCCGTCTCATGGAATACATATCTGATGCAACGTTGACATCACGCACGACTGGCTGTGGTGTGCGCGTGCTGATGCATCGACCTTTGCCTGCATCGTAGTCGCCGGTGAAGCTGGCTCAAGGGGCAAATATTCATTTATACAGGCTACGTACATACAGTGAACAAGTAGAATGAATGCGATCGTGTAGTGCGCTTGCGCCTGCTACTGTACGGTAGACCCGTACACGTCGCGAGCGAATGACCGGTGTATGCCGGGATGGTTGTTTCACGTCGTATGTCCTCCTCGGCAGGCTAGGTCGCGCCGTTCTTGGGAATCGACGTGTGGCGCGCAGGTGATCGTACCTGCTCATCCACACGGCGCTGCTAGTGCTGCTAGTTCGCCAACTCGCTCGGTCACCCGCCCGGCCCTACTCAGCCATCCATCCCGTCTGTCTGGCCACCCGTCTGCCGCCCGTCCGTTTGCTCGCCCGCCCAACTGCTCGCCCAACTACTCGCTAGATCGCCAGCTTCTCCACTAGTTCGCCCGCCCGCACCATCGCTCGCTTGCCTGCGCGGTAGTTCGCCCATCCGCTCGCCTACTAATTCGCTTACCTGGAGTCGGCAGCATGCAACCCGTCGCATCCGGGTGCGGCGGGCTGAGGCTTGGCCAGTGCATGCCTACTGGGCCTGTGCTGGCGTTACTTGAGCGCACGCGCACCGGGACTATCTCCATCGTGTTCATCTCCGTTGTGTTCGCCTCCGTCCGGTCGTCGTCGGTGAGCGTTCGCTTGTCGGGTCGACTATGGGATCGAGGTGACAAGCGTGGCACTCACCTGTATCGCTGGCCCTGCTGGCCATGCCCGCTTCTCCTCCCTGCATGACTCTCCTGTGCGAGCCTCCAGCAACGCCTTTGGCAGATCGCTGGAGCTCGTTACAGTCGTGTACAGCGTGGTCTTGAGGCGTGCAGCGAGCCGATGCGTGCGCCCCGATTCTTTCGGACGAGCTCGCTTGTGTGTACCAGAGCTCGGTGGCGAGCAGGCCAGAGTTGAGGGCGGGACGGGGAGGACTCGGAGGACATGAGGGGAAGGGCAGTGATTGGAAGTGGCAAGCGTTGGGTGGCGCAGCCTCGGCGCTTAGGACTTCTCTTGCGGACTCGACCCACTCATAGCGACAGTCCCAGACCTACCTGTGCCGCCTCCCCTGGACGAGGACGATGAGATCGCTGGTGCAGCGTTGCCATTGGATGGCACACAACATCCTAGGTGGGTATTGCGGCCTGATCCCTAGCTAGTAGCGCTGACACCATGTGCTGCAACCTCTCGCAGCACAACACCGCGGTGGACGTCCTGCTCGCGTCAGCCCCGAAGACGCCTGTCACGCCTCCGCCTCCTACTACGAGGCGGGTGATGCGGTCGATGGCGGCGCAAGACCTCGACAAGCTTCGCGTCCTCGCACGCACGACTTGCTCGAGCTGCGTGACGCCCACCGCTCACTGTCTCGCGACGTCACTGAGCTGAGAGATGCTCACAACGCGGTCGTAGCGTCGACGGACTCGACCACCACAAAAGTTCGACTCCTGCAGGGCGGGGGGCGTGCGGGTACGTACTCATTCGCCATCTCCTCGTTCCATCGACGCAGCAGTGATGCCACCGTCTCCCCGATATCCAAGAGTATACTCGCCACCCACCCAACCTGCCCTGCAACATCCTTCTCGGTGCGCTCGAGATGTTCCACCGAGGACCCCTGCCCCCGTTCATCCCGACGAATGGACCATCTCGCGTCCACCGGCCGATGGAACAGCCGGCCCCAGTGCTGCCGTAGGTCCCGCTCCCGTTGCCTGAGGTCCCGCTCCCCGCGCCGCCGGAGGTCCTGGAGGGCCTGCTCCTCGTGGCGCCTGAGGTCACGCCCGCTCCCCGGAGTACGACAATGACACCGCGCAGGACGGGCCGCCGTACAAATGCGTGAAGCGGAACGGATGGACGAAAAAGAGGCGTGACGGTCAAGCACAGACGTCGACGAGACCGGAACATAGCGCGGTGGCGACCACCGCAGGGCCTTCACTCGCTCGAAGCTCGAATACGTCTGCGACTCGTACCCATGGTAATCACGCAGGTCCTCTTCGGCAAGATGGCCTGGAAGGCCAGTGTCGTGCGTCAACAGTCCTGAAGGTCACGTCGATCGTCCGTGCAGGAAACCGTATCAAGAACTCGTCCATCCTCAGTGTCTTCCTGGAGAGTGAGGTTTCATCAGTCCGTGCCCTGTTCCGCTCTAGGGAGGAGGCCGTCGCCTTCGAGAAAGCCTGGAATCGCGCACCCAGAGACTTCCCTTCCGTTCGTGCGAAGGTTGTGCAGTAGTCAGTTACTACTACTATACGTCTCAAATCAAAATGCTAAATATGCGACCCTAGCCCGCCCGCGAGCGATGCTCATATACGCGTGGCGTGCTGGAACGTACATGGCAATCTGCCTTTTAATTTGAGGTGTGACCGGTTCCGGAATGCCCTCGCCCAATTCGACGTCGTAAGGCTACGACTGCTGTGTAGCTGGGCGAGTCGATACACCGTCGTTCAATGCGCCGGGCGGGGTCCTTGCCGCACTGGTGCGAGCAGGTCCTTCGTGTGTACACCATCCGGAACTGGGGGGGTCCAAGGTTATGGTCCTGCGACTACCAGGGCTGTGGCTGCTGAATGCTTACATCCCTCCACCCCACTCTCACTGGTACACGCTGTCTGCCCTTGGCCCATCTGAGCTCCTGGAGCGGGCACTCGCTGTTACCACCAGGGATCCGGAAGTCCCAGTGGTACTCGCAGGCGACCTAAACGCTCGCACAGGGACAGTGTCCGCCTTCCAAGAGACCTGCCGGTCTTCCCCAGATGACGCACCTATCTCGCAGCATGGCCGTGCACTGCATCAGCTATGTCGGGACTACGGCCTTGACATCTTGAATGGGACTCACCTACAGGATGCAGATAGCTTGTCGATGTTCGCGTCGTTCCGGGCACTCGGGTGCACGGTGATCGACTACGCAGTGGCCTCCCTGCAACTCATCAGTAGCGGAAACGTTCGCCTGCGCGTTCTGGAGCACTGGCCTGAATGATCAGACCATGCATCCCTATGTATGGTTCTCGATCAGCGGCTCGCGGTGTTACCGGTATCCTCGACAGGACGGCGGGAGACGGAGAGAGAGGGTGATAGCGACGCATTGCAACTCGAATGCATTCCCATCTGTGGATCAGCCTACGCTATGGGCTAAGCTCCACGCGGCAGGTTTCTCGGGACCACTGTTTGACTGGCTGTGGATGCTCTACGCCCGACTGCGGTATGTCGTCCGTGCAGACGGCCGCATGTCTGACTTCTTCCGAGCAGCGGCGGGTATCCTCATAGGTGATCCTGCATCACCGATCCTCTGGATCCTCTTCCTGGCAGACCTCCGCATCTCTGATCACGAAGATGACATCCGGCTAGGAGGGGTATGTGTATACCTCGAGCAGGCAGACGACATCGCGCTCTTCTCTACCTCGTTGGCAGCTCTGCAATGAAAAATGGATGAACTGGCGCGGTGGTGCTCGCTGAACTTTGCGACGATCAATGCCTCCAAGACGCAGCTGATGATCTTCGGCCCACTCCCGTCGTCACCCCCATCACTCATGGTGAATGGCAAGCACATCACCCTCGCCGACAGGGATACTTACGTTGGCACAACTTTCCTGTCGACCTCGCGAGACATCTTCTCCGCGCATGTTGACCGTCATGTAGCGATCGCTCGCCGGACGGCGAATGCAAGCCTGTCGGTGGAATCGTATGTGATGACGTGTTATACTAGGTTGGGTAATATCCCGACTCTGTGCGTCGAGTATACCGAGAACGCGCTTGACCTCGTTATCGAGAACTTCGCGCTCAGCGGGGGTCTCTTCCCGAACCTCGTCACCGTCGAGGCGCACAACTTCATGAGGTTCTCGCCGTACAATGACATTCAAGAGGAGAGCCCTCGCGAGTTCATGCTCACATTCCGCCAGATCCAGGCGGACATGCGCGACGTTTCATTCTACTTCCGCAACAAGAGTGGGCTCCCAAAGCTCAGTGACTCGGGCATCGCAGACGTGATTCTTGGCGGGCATGCTCTCACTGTCACCGCGCGAGTTGCGAGCTCAAGCAAGGATCGCTCATCTGCCCTCTACGTACGTCGCACCATCTCTCGTAGTCATCACAGTACCAAACTGACTTACCGAATTGCAACAGCTCAAAGTCGTGCAAATCAGGTCGACACACTCAAATTTTCAATATTGAAGACAGCAAGCACGACCTCCTGCAGGTGCAGAACACGATCACGATCACAGTGCGCACAAGCCTGGAGTACGTCGATGGCCAGCTCGTGACGGTGCGCGACTGCATGGACGCCGCGAAGGTGGACGGGAACGGGACACAGGCGCTGCAGGACGTAAGTTGCATCTGTCCTCTTTCGTCATTGGGAGGCACAGGGACTGACATGTCTCCACAGCTATTGCAGCATAAGGACGAGGGTGGACGCGAAGACGGGCACTTTCAAGGTCTTGTTGAAATGTGACTCGGCCATTCTGCAGGATGTCGGCCGCCACGAGAGCATGGCGAATCGAGCGCAGTCACGGTCGGACAAGGCGACGAAAGGAGAGACGTGGCACTCAGCGGCGTTCACGATCGTTTGAGCTCGTCTTATGCTCATGTCGTCCCAGGCCTGTCCAGACATCTGACTCTGCGTCTTTGCGATCTTGGTCTCACATCTACATGCCCATAAGTAACGAGATCCAGATACGCTACGCTTCGAGTGTCGTCAAAAAATAGGCGGTTGACGCGGCGCGTTCTGTGGTAGACAATAGTAGGAAATGGTGTATCATGTTCGTCCCGACCATCACGCCGGCGAATCAGAAACTCATCTAAGTCCCACCTGAGCCCAAGGGTAGTGCCGGACCCACCGGGCTTCTCTCCTCTATTCAGACTTTGAGTCCTAACACTGGCTGAGAATGCTGCTGAGGCGACTGTCAGTGCACACAGAGTACAGTGCAGTGTATAGGAGCAGCAACGCGAGTGAAGAGGCCACGAACACCGCACATGATGCCGAAGCCCGTTATACATCGGGCGCAGGTAAGCACGTCTTTTCCTCTACATGCTCTGAAAGCCTTAATGTCTGGACTTCAACTTGCAGAATCAGGCATCGTCAATCATGCACCTACCATGGGCAGCAGCAGTGAACAACCTACAGTCGAGAAACATGCATGTGCATGTACGGTACCGGAACTAAGCAGGACTGTACAAGGTAAACTTTTTGTTTATTCGTTGTAGGGTGAATTCTCAAAGTCTGAGTACTACACTGCCGGGTTAGCGGCGCGGCCTCCTAGGCCGTGTCGTAAACTTGCTGCGGGGCCGTATGACCCTGCCTCGAGGAATAATCAACATCAACAGGAATCGGCTCACTTCCCACTGCCGCCTTGTCCCAGGCGAGGCATCCAGTGGATAGCCTGTCACGTTCAGCCTCGCGCGGCTAGGGATCTCAGATGGCTTCAAAGCCGCACGAAGCAGCATAGTATCATTTCGCCCACTAGTGCTACGACACTCACTTCGACGTACGACCCAGAGCAAGCCCGCAATCAACACTTCGAATCTCCTAGGCACAAAGCGAAGAATTCGCGATGGACGGAGCATCAAAGGGACCTGGCTAGCAGTGCCACAGAGCATTCAAGTTCGAGCTTGGAGGAATTGAGATCATTGGTAAGTTCCAGCCCATGTAGTACAGCTCGTAACCTCGTAACAGTAACATTACATGTCACATTTACACTTCGACAGTTTCACGCCATGTACGTGGATGGCATACGCCCGGCACGCACTGGATACGTTCGCCTCAACCGGAACCTATTTGAGTCAGAAACTGAATTACTGGGCTGTTACAACGCTAACGTCAATATCAACAGGGACAGTCTGTACAGTCAACCGTAGTGGCTACCATATGCACGTCGATGCCGCAGGGCTTGCGAGACGATCTGACAAATCGTCTTGCTGCGTGCTTAGAACCTGAGGCCCTGAAACCAATCAATACAGCTCAGAACGGCGGTGAGCATGTAGTCCACGCCATGCATTTCTCCTGGTACAATTGTCATTGTACTACTGTAGGTGCAGTATCTCTATTAATTGACGTGCCCTCATCTCAATGTTGCGACTGCAGCTCACCGAGGATTTCGATGGTGGCGAGCTTGTCCTGTATGAAGCAGGCTTAGTAGTACCTCTACGACATGGTGATTTCGCTATCTTTCCTTCTTGCAGCTTGACGCACTTCAACTTACACTACAAGGGGCGTAGAGCATCTATTAATATTTTGCTGCATACTGACAGGGAAATGACCAAATGGCTTGGAGGGCGCAACGGTTGGTCGAATAACAGCAGTTTCATTTGATGTACTATGTAGCTTGAATCGACTACTGGCTGCGTGCTTTCCCATGCTTAATAGCGCTCGGCCGTCACCCGTGTCCCGTGTTCATCGCCGACACTCGCCGGCATCGATTGTTGAAGTTCGTAGCGTCTCGGCAGCTATCGCAGGTGCGTCTCTTTCTTTTTCTCACTACAGTCTACACCTCCGCTGTTCGTTTCTTAGTACTCAGATATGGACAAGCGCGCCACGAGGTCAGCCGCTACCGAACAAGCCTCCGGCACGGCACGGTCTACCAGGTCGACGAAGACCTCCGCAGCCGCAGGCGGCTCGAAGAAATCGACTAAGCCTACAAAAGGCAAGGCAAATGAAGCGGTCGCCAAGAAGAAGGTACAGAAGAGTAAGGAGGCAGAGAAGGAAGAACATACCACCAGTCAGTAAAATCCGTGAACCCATGAACCCGAATGTTATCGTTGGTTGATGATACGTGTCAGACGTACGCAAGAGGGCATTGAAGATGATGAACGAAGAGGAATTACCGGCCGATGAAGAGCCACGAAAAGCAAAAAAAAAGAGGCGTGCTGGTACGGAGGCCGAGGCAGACGTCGACGAACAGGATAAGCCGGTCGAAGACACTCCGGAGGATGTGGAGATGGAGGATGTGGCGACTAAGCAGAGTAAATCCATTCGACGTACGTGGTCAGATCACTCTCTGCTATACACTACTGATTCGCTTGGCGTATTGGTACTAAGCCAAACCTAAGCCGGCGTACGGGAAATTTGCAAAAGACAGAACTGCTTTGGATGCCGGCGAGGAAGATATTGTGCGGTCATTGGGTACGTTCACTCACATACGCACGATCATTTTGTCTAACCTACGACTCGTCGGAGGCGGTGGTCGCCGTCAAACTGGGGACAAGGCGAGTGGGAAGGTAGGTAGTGCGTCGTGTTATGCACCGAGCTCATTTATTTCAAGACAACTGACATCCAACAGGACAAGGGTAAGGCTAAAGCGACACGCAAGGACGAAGCAGTCGAATCTACCGACGAAAGCGAGGAGGGCGATGGTAAGGTTGACGGTGTCGAGATAGAGAATGAGGACAAAGACGAGGAAGAACGCGAAGACGAAGGCGGAGACGGCGATGGTGAGGATGAAGCCGAGGTGGAGAGCAGGTCTGAAAAGGGGGAGGACGATGATATGATCGAGGAGCAGGACGAGGAGGACGAGGGCGACGTTATAGTGAGTACACCGCCTGCACTATTGGCGGTGATCAGCATAGCACTTACAATATACAGCTGCTGTCTGAAACCAAGGCCAATCAGAAGAGTGATCGTGACAAGCTGACGGCCGGTGAAGGCGAAACTAGCCGTCGCGTCAAGGTCGCCGACTTGCCGAATAGCGTCAAATCTCTCGTCTCGGCAGCGCAGAATTGCCTGTGTCTGCGCATTGCCCTCAACTCTGCATGGACGCAGGAAGCATCCGTCACGTCGCAGCGACTCCCCACCAGCTTCAAATTGGTCAAGGATAGCCTCGACGATACACTTACAGGACGCGGTAAGAATGACCAACCTAACGCTGCAATGGAGGAAGCACTGCAGTTGCTGCAGGACGACCGGAAGAAAGTCAGGCTTTCGAAGAAGGAACGAGAGGAACGAGAGGCAATGGAGGCAATGAGAAAGAAGGTGTACACTGTGGTGAGTCAACGATTCCTGGTGGACCAGAAGTCACAGACTCTGATCACCATCAGGTCTGGACGTGCGCATCACAGATGCGGAACGAGCTGAAGAAAAAGGCCAAACAAGTAGTTGAGCAAGTCTTCAAGTTCGGCGGTCTGTCTGTCGCTCAACGCACAGAGGCTGCCTTCTGGCTTCTCGAGACACACCCTACAGTCGTGAGCGATGGCACAAAAAAACGCGGCATCCCCAACTTCGTCTTCGGGGGCATCGAAATCCATTTCGATCGGAAGAAGAAGCTGGACCGGGAGGTAAGTGCTCAGATCGCACGTTGTGTGTTGAATCCCAGAACGAACTCACGGCAATTTTAGCGTACGAAGGTCGAGCCGAAGGAGCCCTTCCGGGATGAAAGCATCCCGGAGCTTATCTACCAGTACTACGGCCTGGCCGGTCGCCCTGATGCGAGCATCAATGCGGCGCTGGATGACTTCAGGAAAGTCCCACTTAATCTCATAGCCGTCTCGTGTAATGCGGTATGTTTGTGTTTCCATATTCTGGTACATTATTCACGCAGTTATGCATACCATCACAGATAGAGTCAGCACTGATGGATGTGGCATCGCGCAGCCAGCCTACAGTGTTTTCGAACAAGCACTTCGCTCCAAACATCAGGAAAAACCTTCGTTACATAAGTTGTCTTGCATAGACCATAAAGGTAGCTGAAGCTTAATTAGTGCCTTAAGACAAGTCAAAATCTTTTTTGTACTATAGAGGCCCACACAAACTTAAAAAAAGACTAAAATAGAGGCACTTTCTCTTCAGCTAGAGTATGCTATAGTGACTGAAGGAGAGTGGACCGTCAATCTGTTCCTTCAAATCAAGCACCTATCTTAAGCTACTTAGATTACTTAGGCATGCTTTGATGGTGGACACTTTGCCTTGGCTGCATGCACAGGCCACAGGAGTATGGTGAGCACTGAATATACACGTTACACACATGTCATATGAATACACTGCAAGTCGAAGCAACTTTAGGATCAGACGCTGGCGAAAGTACAAACAATGGATAAGGAAAACTACGGAGACCCGGCTCGGAATACCAGTACAACGAAGTGGGCATCAAAGAACAGGTTGTCGATCTAGAGATAGGCTGTTGTGGATCTTCCAAGGTGGTTGATGGTATCATAATGTTTGCTAGATTGTGTCCTAGAACACAGGTTAGCTTGGATATAAGCTTCTCCGAGTCCTAATGCCAACAGACAGACCTTGGAAAGATCGCCGCTCCTCCTACACCGTCTATAGCATTGTAAGCATTGAATAGCATTGTTCACCTACAGATCTACACACCACGCACCTTCAATAGGCTTCCTCAATCTCGTCCTCCTCAGGCTGCTCCGTTTCTTCAGCCCCAGCCTGCACCGCAGCCAGCTTGCTACTGGAGGCTTCAGTTGTCGGAGCTCGCGTCGTCGCGCCGCCCTCGCCCGCGCCGTCATCGCCCGCGTCGTCATCGCCCGCGCCGCCATCACCCGCGCCGTCCTCGTCCTCGCTGGGAATTTCGGGCTGTTTGGCACTGGCTGACTTTGCGCCCGACTTCGTCATCCTGCTGGTCGAGCTGGCAGGTTTCACCTTGCTAGCAGACTTCTGCACGCTCGTAGACTTAGCAGGGCTAACAGCTGTCGAAGGGGACTTAGCTCGACCAGCATTCAGCTTAGCTCGCATGCGGTCGAACTTGAGGAAGCTACCACCCTTGGCTGCAGGCTCGAGTTCTTCGACAGCATCCAAGTTGAGGCAACCACTGTGGATGATAGTCAGTCACTGTGAATCCTAGACATCTTGCACGTACGAAATATGGCCCCAGATAGCCTTCTTTGTCTCATCGTAGTATTCCGGCAATTCCTCTTTCAGAGTTTCCAATATTGCAATGAGACCGTCCCACCTAGTATTGAGGAAAGTATCAATGTGTGTCTTCAAACCAATTTGAATTTGATACTCACTTGCAGGCGAACTGCTTGTTCGTGAAGAAGTTTTTCTGCCCATGATTCATGATCTCCATCAACGCGCACTCGATCTGCAAATGAAGGCATATCAGGGCTGGACATAGCCAGGGAACAGGTTATGTTTTAGGGCCTACTCACCGCGTTGCACACGAGAGCGATCAAGTTGTCTGGTACCATAGCAAAGTCCTCCATCGCCGCATGCAGGTTCGCATCGGCGCGCGCTCCCAATGCCCAGTGCTGGAAAATCAGCTCTGATATGGCAGGATGGCGGAACGGCTCGTCCTCGTTGAACTGGCTTTCCTGCAGCAAGTGTCACAGATTAGCCATACATGGATTACTAACACACTCACCTTCACGTCCACATGCTTGCGGTGGTCGAAGACTATGCTGATGTCGTTGAACAGGAAATTGGGGATGTGTCGCGTCCCACTGCCGTCGTTGACCTGTGTAGGATGCGCCTTCAGCAGCCACACAGCCGCCCTGCTTCTCTGCTCAGCCGTCAGACCGTGCAGGCCGTACACCGTCTCTACGACAGCTTTCGCCTTCTTCTTCAACTCATTGCGAAACTGCGACGCACACGCCCAAACCTTTCAATAGTTCAGCGAGCCCGTGGTTCGAGAGGTGCGTATCACTCACAATCTTGTACACCTCCTTCTGCAGCTCCATCCGCTTCGCCTCCTCCTCCGCGTCCTTCGTCGCCTTCGTCTTCGCGTCCTTCTCCTTCGTCTTCGCGTCCTTCTCCTTCGTCTTCGCATCCTTCGCCTTCGCCTTCGCGTCCTTCGCCTTCGTCTTCGCGTCCTTCGCCTTCTCGCCGCAGACCATCTTGAACCCAGCCTTCAACGCCTTGATACGATGCCCGTCCTTGTCACGCATCTCGTGCGCATCAGTCAGGCTATCGTGAACCAGAGCGTCTTTCTCAGGGAGTCGACCTGAGTGAACCGAGGTCTCCGAGGTCCACGCCGTCTTGAGAGCTATGCGGAGGCGTAGGGAATTCTGGGACGCAGAGACTAGGGCCTTAACGTCAGGGTGAAGGTCAGTCACCTTCGCACGTTTCTTGCGCGTGCCCTTTGATCGCCGACGTACGACTTTCCCTGCCGTCTCATCGCGCAAGACCTGCACAATCAGCGAGTACTTCATTTGCACGATACGGGAGCTCACCACCACGTCGTCATCCTCCTCCTCTTCATCATCCTCACTACTCTCCCCTTCTCCTTTCTCCGGGTCCCTATCCTCGTCTTCCTGCTCGTCGTCGTCCGCATCCGCATCCGCATCCGCATCCGCATCCGCATCCGCATCCGCATCCACATCCACATCCACATCCGCGGCACTACGTTCGGCTCCGCTCTGATTGTCGGTCGTTTCGACGTCGCTGGAACTGGAATTCTTCGTGATCTTGGCTTTGCTGGCAGTCCTGGGAACTTCTTTGCCTTGGCTCTTCACCGCCGTATGCGATGATTTTCCGCTCCCTTGAGGCTACACGAACACTGGTTAGCAAGCGATACTACGGTGAACTATGAGTACCTTCGGAGGCACGTCAACGTAGACCAGTCGCCGAGTCTTGCCAGTCGGCGACAACGTAGACAACGCCGGGATAGGTACCTTCTTTCTGGTCGAAGACGACGGTCCTTTCTTCGCGGCTTGTGTAGCAGCCTGTGGGCCGTCGTTCGGACCCCCCTCGTTGTCAGAAACATCGCTTGTCTGCCTGGCTTTGTTTTGACCTTCGACAATGTGGTCCCCTTACCTGCTGCGGTGTTAGCGTAGAGATGAATGATTATTGAGACTTGCCCGTCAACTTACTGAGCGACTGGGCAACAGTGGCTTCCTCGTCGTCCAGGTTAGTCGCTCTCTTCGCCAGTTTCTTAGGTGGTTGAGTTTGACCCTTGGCAGCCTGCTTGGGTTTGGGCCGGGGTAGCGGCCAAGGCTTGGCTTTGAGCCGGTAGTTGTACAGTCGTATAAGGTCAGTATGATCTATTGCTGCAAAGATGCCGGGTACATACACTGAGACTTAGCTTTGTCCGACTTTCGACTCTTCTGTTCCACCTCAGAGTCGCCCGAAGTCTGGTCATCCTTGGCTATCTCCTCTTCACCCTCACTATCGACTTCATCGACATTCATATCTTCGTCGTCTCCCGTGCGCTGCTCTGCTTCAGACTCTTGAGCAGACTTCTTTTTCTTATGCTTTGGCGGCGACGGCTGCGATTCCTCTTCACTCGAATCCCGGGCGTCGTTTTCCATCAGAGCTGCACTTCTTTTGCGTACGTCTGACAGTACGTCGTTAGCCTATATTAATGTTGCATAGACGAGCTACTCACTCTTCTGGTGCAACTCCTTCGCGCTCTTGTTGGCCTTCTGGGCCATCTTGCGAAGTTTGGCGAGGGCCTGCCTGTCGGCGGAAGACAGACCTGCCGAGTTGATGTTGGGGATGTCGCTGCCTGACGAGGCTCTGCTGGCCTGCCCACGCTTCGCACAATCTTGCTGGCGGGCGCTTCGTTTGGCCTCGGGGCTGTCGTTGACAGACGAAGCTTGCTTCCGAGCGGCTGAGCGAGTGCGCGATGCCATCCTGGCAGTACAAGTAGGCACAAGTCGAGGAGGGAATAAGACAGCTCCGGAAAACGATGGGAGAGCGGTGTCTCTTCGCGAATCGCAGCTTCCGCTAAGTACTTCCGAGGACCGGGCTTCGCGTCTAATCGATCAGCTAGGTGCGGTGCGCGCACACTTAAGTAGCTAGTAAAGACCCCTGATATACATTAGAATATTTGTGATGCATCAAAGATACGTAGAGATATTGTACTACTGAAGTGATGAGTTGGTAGCCCAGCCATTCCGATCACCGCACCATTTCGACATTTCTCTGTCACTATGTAGGACTATAGAGGCTCGTCTCCCTTTGTAGTGTAGATTGAAATGCGTGAGGCGACAGGAAGGAAAGAGTACGAAGTCACCGGAGATAAGTGGGATAACCAGTCCCGGTTCATACAACTATGTCAGAGCACGGTCCACCGGCATGTGTCTGCCCCGCTGCAGCGGGTACGGTCATGCGCGTAGACGCGAGTTGGCGAGACTACTGGCAGGTCAAAACTGACGGACGGAAGGAACGGTTGTTCATCCGGTAGGTGCAGGTTCGCCTGGTAGACCTCATCCTCGAGCTGCACGATCCGCCCCGCTGCAGCGGGTATGGCTGGCGTCTTCCGGCCCTCGCCCATCCGTCCGTCTCGCGCCACTTGAATGGCACGCAGATTCTCGTGATGTGACGTCGACCAGCCGTTCGACTCGAAGAGGTGGTGTGGGAGCGTTTGGGAGCGTGAGCTCTGACGCGATTGCACGGCGCAACGGTCAGATTGGGTCGGAGTCTATGCGAGAACAGGATGATGTCGCCCGGGATCTCCTCCACAGCGTCATCGTCGATACAAGAGAGCGAGCCGCATTGTCCGGAGGGCGAGGTCCGCGTTGAGCGACATGGTCTCCTGTGGTCGCTTGTACGTCCTCGGCAGACCCCAAGGCGTCGGGCTCGCCCTCGCGTCATCCTCCACCACTTCCGTGAGAAGCCTAGCGAGGGCCCTCGCCACGAGCGCATACTCGTTCTGTACGGAGGACTTGAGGTTGTCAAACTGGAACTCCTCGAGCCAGCGGAGCCACTGGGTGAGGAAACGCACGGAGCCCGCGTCGATGAAGAGGTTGCGGTACGCCACGAGGTGCGGGAAGTGCGCAATGGAGTGGACGAGGAGCTCCGCGTCCTGGTCCGTGAGGCCACTTGAGGTTAATCACCCAGCGGGTTTGCAGGGCATATTCAGACTCCGCTGTGGCGCGGGCACCCGTACGCGCAAGTCGTGTCGCGCCTCGTCGCGCCCTCTTGAATGTAGAGTCGCCAACGCCGTACGCAGCCCACGAACATACCGCGGGTGCGAGTACTTACAGCGACGAGCGGACGGCTGGGAAGTGTGAGTGGCGGGCGGGCGAGGGCGAGGGCGAGTGCCCACAGGTGAGTGCAAACGCATGCGAGCGACCCCACTAACGCAGGCACAGGACGCGGCAACGTGCAGCATGGCGCGCACGGCGACCGCGAGAACGCAGGGCCACTGCCCTGCGTGCAGGCACGGCCAACGAACGGCCGGACCACCGGACGAGCGGACGAGCGAGTGCGGGCGCGGGCGGCAGCATCATGATACACACGGCCGACGAACGCGCGCAATGCAAGCGGGGAGGCGGCGGGCGAGTCGGTGAACATGCAAGTAGTACATGGGTGACAGGTCGAGCAGGTGAGCAGACAGCCAAATGGGTTGATAGGTGGGCGAGCAGGCACACGAACGAGTGGGTGGGCGGGTCAACGGGCACACAAGCGGGGACCACACACACGTCCACCGCACGTCCACGTCGTAGGATCGACCGACGTCCTGTACGGGCAGGTGGACGAGAGGTGTGAGAGGACGTAGGTACCCACTCGTCACTCACCATGCAGCTACGATACCTAAGGTTGAGAAGGTATACACGGGCTCGCTCGAGCGCAGCGCCATTGTTAAAGGGTCTTCATGAATGCATCAGCGCGCGAGCCACATAAATTGTCCACTGTCATACCGACAGCCACAGCAAGTGATACGTCGTGTGAGTGTGGCCCGCGCGTCATCCTCGCCCCGTTCAGAAACTAGACTGATGCATGGAAGCCCGTCCATTCATAGCCTACTTCGAAATGCCAGTACAAATCCCTAACGAGGAGGGTCTTGCGGCGAGACTATGAGTCGCGCGGCGCGGACTCGCTCGCCCGGCTAGTACTACTGAACTTCGCGCGAACTTCGCGCATGTGTACTGAGCATTGTGTAAGAAATACATTAGAATGGTTTAGTAACAAGTCGGTGTTGGCGACCCTAAGAGGGGGCCCGCGCCACACACCGCTGGGTGATTAACGTCAAGTAGTGCCAGCGAAGTATGTAAGGCCGCGAGTGTGCACTGGCTCGAAGCGCGGGCGGCGGAGCTGTCGACGTGCGAGCGTACGATAGCCGTACGATAGCTTGAACAACACGGTGTGACATTCTGGTACAAAGAAACAGACATAGGTTGTGCGACGTTACATGGACAGCTCAATTCGACGTATCCTACAGGGTAGAGGTGTAGAGGCTACATGGCTACAGGTGTGACAGACGTTGAGAATACACGGAATAAGTACAGCGATGCAACATGCAACAGAGGAGCGATATAGCGTACGAATAGAGGCTGTAACACGCGGACGAGAGGCCGCGACCTGAGGCAGAGACACTACGCCAACCTCTGCGGCGATTCTCTTCGAGGCCGCCGACGCCTGTCTGCGTTCACCTCCTCGGCGGCGTCCTCGGCGTCCTCGCGCTCCTCCCTCTGTCTCACCCGCGCCAGGCTTGCGCTCATTCCTGCCTCTTGTGAGCTCATCCAGCGAACAAATGCATCGTCGGTCAGCGACGCAACAGGCTTGGGTGGCTTGAAGTTGGCACGACCCAGCGTAGTGTGATTGAACGCTGTCTCTCCAGGGAGTCGCCTTTTGAAGGTCTGCAACCGGTTGCGCGCGCAGCACTTCGCGCCGTGACGGATGGCTTCGACTAGGGCGGGGAAAGGGAGTTGGAATTCCTCTGGCAGATCTTCTTCGTCTTGCTGGCGCAGCTGGCGCAGCAACTCCTCGCCGAGGTTAGTGAACTGATACGCCCTCCTGACCTCCTCTGTCGTCTGGTAGATGTTCGCTTCGTCGTTATCCTCTTTGAATGAGTCCCAGTCCTCGCAGCCTTTCCTCCACACCTCGAAACGCGCCCTGGTGAAGACGCGTCGCCATCGTCCGCAGAACATATCGTATCGGTCCTTCGGGTAGTTGTCGTACTTCTCCTGCACAGGCTGCGGATGCCACTGAGTACTCAAGAACCGATCCATAGAATGACTGCTCACTATGACGTAGCCCAACTTAGCCCACTCCTCCATACTCAAACCATCATTGAGGCCGTTGTTGAGCTCCTTACGCTCGTCGTCCGTTAGGAACCTGGAAACATCGAACAACGCGAACCATGCTGACAGTTCGCCACACCATACATGGTTGTTGGCCATGATGGGGCGCGTTAAGATGAAATCGCACTCGCTCGGAGCGGGATCCTCTTCCTCGTTGACGTCCTCTTCCACGACCTCGCCGCCCTCAGGCACGACCTCGTTCTCCGGGAGCTCAGTCAGCGCCGTCAGCGGTAGGTTCTTCCACTGCAGCCGTTGTTTATCGTAGCCGGCCCCCGGAGTCAGCTTCGGTCTCTTGAACTTCGTGTGCTCGAAGATTTTCACGCCTCCTATATACACCGGCCAGTTGAACGGGTCGTCGTCCTGGGTGGCGATACGTTGGTATTCGAGCATCTGATTGTTCGTTAATACTGGTTAATTGGAGTACACTGACAGTGGTGCTTACCCGTCCGATGAAATGCTTCCACGTCTCGCTGAAAGCAACCTCGATCACCCCAACCTCGTACTCGCCGTCCATGTAGGTTATCTTGATCACGATATCCGGGATGTGCATAGTCGACTTGGTCTGGCGGGCAGCCAAGATCGGCCCCGCGAGCTCCTTCATCTGCTCGACACCCAGAGTTATCTTGTACACGTTTCTGATCACGAAGATGCAGGGAGTAAAGAGCGGCCTCTGCGAGTCGCATATCTCAATAACGATGTGCTGATGAGCCCCAGACGGGGAGTTCATGGAAAGAGTCTGAGATGAGGAGTCGTAATAGAAACTGACAGATGCGCGAGTGAGTCGCGCATCCCTTCCTCGGCCTCAAGCATAGTCGACTCACTTGAAGAACTTGTGAAGGGCGGGATACTCCTGCACGTAAGCTACTAACTGGAGCCACTCGTCGTTATTGATCTTGACCTCCTGATGTGATTTGACGTCAGTTCAAGTCTTGCGCCAGACGTAGAATAGAGTACACTTACGCGCTCGAAGTCAAACAGTTCAGGCCCAAGTCTTTCGTCCAGCGCGTCCCCAAAGACCTTGCGCAGTAGTGTATCAAGAGAGCGATCGCCGTCCGATTGGGAGGCTTGAGAAGTAGAAAGTGATGGGGCCTTTGCAGATGATTGGGATTCACTGTCAGACGTTGAAGGTTCAGAGCCTGAGTTTGCCCAAGATCAGTGTAATCCAGGCTGATCTAGCTAGGCTAACTCACTGATATGTTCAGAAGAAAGGTACGCTATGTCCTCTGCCTCCACGGCCTCAGCTTTCTCCTCGCAACGTAGGGGACTACGAGGGCTGCGAGGGTAAGGCGTCCAAGCAGTCAGAGACGCAGCATTCCGCAGGAGAGAGCGAGAGCGAGGAGGCAGCAACCCAAGGGAAGTGGGAGGCTTCCCGTACGACATGTTGAGGGCACTTCCGGACGCCGCAGAGCAACCGCAGAGGTATGTACAACTGAGGTACTCCAAACGGCAGCCTTATGTAACACGGGTGCAGCGCGGCTGTACGCCGTGCCACATTTAACACATCCAGGCACAGCCGTGGGAGAGCGCATGGAGAGGCACTAGCCCAGTGCCCCGCATGAGCGCCGATAACGGCGCAGAACGGTGCGCCCTTTGCAAGCTCTAAGTGCAGACAATATTTGGAATGTTTACTCACCTTACGCCGTGTGCCGGGCCTTCAACACCGTACGATCAACGCGACTACACGATGGTCAGCAAGGAAAGACTGAAAGTGCGTTGGTTGAAGCGAACTGACCGCCTTGTGCCAAACTTTACAGGGAGCAGGTGCTAGTGTCAAATGTGCGCCGCCCGTCAAGGTGTATGGAGCCGAGCGCTACAGATGCAGCCTTGCGGCTGCGGGCTGCGGGCTGCAGAAGTCTCAGAGATAGGTGCTAGTGGATGCCAGTAGAAGATGAAGGTGACCATTCAAACGTTCAAGAATGAGAGGTGGGAGGACCTCGCAGTACTGAGAAGAAAGGCACGAGAAGAAGGGAGACGACAGGCAGGGCGGCGTGCTCGCTCCCGCGATCACAGCGTCCTGCCTGTCAGAGTCGCTTAAGTCAAATATAGGAATGAAGTTCGGCTCTTGAGTGGTCTTTGCAAGCGCCCTGAAAGCAACCAGACCCACGACCGTTTCCCTTCGAAAATACCCCTTCGAAAATACGGTAAGTCCTCGTCGAAGTCGATTGAACTCATATCTATTCACTGAAGCTTAAAACACTTTGAACAGGGTATGGGGAAGAGGCGTCGCTCTCTGGAAGAGATCTTGTCAACAACCTGCGCTGCCTGCAACCGACCATTCGACACGGTGCAAGGACTATCAGCACACCAGACTACCAGTCAAGGTTGCGCGTGGTATAAGAAAGGCAAGCTAAAAGAAGTGTTTGCGTTCGACATTTCGGACGATGAAGACGACATTGGGCTGCACGAACTCGATGCACAGTAAGAAGTCAAATTTCTTAGCCCATGACACCCTCGGTAGCCTTTTTTACAGATCGAAAAGTAACAACAACCTCGATCATGATGCCGACGAAGGAGCCAGCGGGAGCGGGAGCCACGTCCATCCACATTACCACCCATCACCTATTACCTCGTCTTCAGATGAAGAAGAAGGTGAAGACCCCTCAGACCTTGCATCCCTGTACGATTTCGTCGACGTCCGCGTCCCGGGACGCGAAGGAACGTCAAGTAAATCAGGGACCTCCTCGGCTCAATCCAGGCGAACTTTGGATGACAACGCGGATCCCAGAGTTGAGGACGTGGATGAGGATGCCGCGAGGGTGATACGTACAGACGAAGCCGTACGAAAGAGTTGGCGGGAACAAAGACGAAAGGAGGCACACCGACACGGTAAGCCCGTCCTCACATTATGTGCCATGCATTAAATTGACGAAAAAAACAACGGCAGATAACCTTGAGGAGGAAGACGCACAAGATGACCGAGAGAAGACCGTCGAACAAGGAGATCGTGACCCCTCAAATCCTTGGGAGCCCTTTGAGTCCGAAATGGACTGGAGATTCGCGTCCTGGGCGATACAGGAAGGTTTGAGTCGGGGATCAGTTGACAGAGCTTTGGCCATACCTGGGGTAAGCTTGACGCAATAAGTTCTATGTCACCGCGTGCTAAGTCCAGCTATATAGTTCAAAGAAAGATTAGGCCTTTCATATCACAATTCCTACTCCTTGTTACAGAGGGTTGACTCGCTTCCGGAGAGGGCGGAGTGGAGGGAAAGATGGTTGACGTTCAAGGACCGACCGAATGAAGAACATCTGGTTCAGTATCGCGACATAATAGAGGCAATACGAACATTGTTAGGCAATCCCGAGCACGCTGATCGGATTGTTTACCGACCTCGACGAATCTTCTCGGATGCCTCTCGTACGAATCGTATATACAATGAGATGTGGAGTGGACGCTGGTGGCATGCAGTGCAGGTGAGTAGGGTGCAATTGAGCACTCCTTGAGTACACTAAATATATATGATGCTTAGAGTCTCTTGCCGGTGGGCGCCGCGGTAGCCCCAGTCATCATTGCGACAGACAAGACTCAGTTGACACAGTTCTCCGGAGGGAAGTCAGCATACCCGGTATACATGACGCTTGGCAACATACCTCGAGCTTTGAGACGAAGACCCTCAGAGCATGCGTGTATCCTTATAGGATACCTCTCAGTCGACAAAATCAGCTCGGACGGCATCACTAAACGCAAACAGCGCGCCTGACGCGAGCCCATCTAGCTAAACACCCAGTTGTTACCCGGCCACCCGACGTGAGATTCACTTATCGTTGCCCGGTCACCCGACGTCGGCCGACGGTGTGACTCCGCCGTTGTTGTCCGGGTCGGCCGATGATCAGACTTTCCGGCCGGCTGCGTGTCGGCCGACGCGTCAAACTGAATGAGCACCTCCGGGCGGCCGCCCAACACGGATTGCTAGCTCCTTACATTGCCTGCTGACGCTCCCCGGTCGGCCGACGATGAGATTTCTCTCTGCAGCCTCAGCGGCCGACGGTCAGAAATTCCATGACCTGCCGGGCGGCCGACCGTGGGACAGACGGTTCTATACCCAGTCGGCCGACCTCTGAACAGCCCACTCTTCTCGCGGCGGCCGCGCATTGGATAGACAATGGCAGTCTGATCGGCCGCCCTGCTGAGGAACCGTAATCATTCTCAAGCCGACCAGTGTCGCCCGGTCGGCCGATATCTTCCCCTGATCAATCATGCCCTCACAATACATCCGGATGGTGGCACGTCGCCCGGATATTTCTCGAGCCACAAGTGACTCCCCGTTATGTCCCGGTCGGCCGAGTGTTCATCTGATGGCTTTCATTGTGCAACAGCCGACACACACAAGGCGATGCCGCTCTCCTTACTTTGTTGGCTAGGCCGGCCAACCAGACCAATTTACATGTCGGCCGGCATGAGGTATGTTGGATGCTGTCAGTTCGGCCGGGTGTGAGATTCCGGATGCCTATCGAGTGGGCTGACACTCGAGCCGGTCCGAAACTACATCCCTCTCCCTGTGGCTAGGACGTTCAGTGGTTTCTCAGACCACCGGAAGTTAAGGGGCAGGCCACGAGGATTACTTTCCGACCGGCTGACATGATGGGCTGCAGCCGTACGGAGTTGATCTCCACTGTTTCAAGTATCACTAGCGAGCCGGTTGTAATTGCAAAGTGGCCTGATGACTGATCGGCGCACCCCGGACCACTCCATTGTAAATAGTGTGTGCCAATGTTTGATGTGCAATGATGGAACTCTGGGGGCCGACCGCATCCCTGTTAGTATGTACCCGGCCGCTATCCTACCCTACCATGCACATCCGCTCCGGCCGAGAGCAGGATATAATCACCGTCTTCATTGCTATTGCGACGATCGTAGTCCAATTGTTGCATGCTAACAGGCGGCCGCCGTTATGTAGCTAAGAGTATGTAGTAACCCCCGGAGGAACGGAGATGTGTTAATTCTGTCTACGTTGACATGAACGGGTCTCCTAGTCCCACCCCGGATGGTCGTACGTCCGAATTTAGGCTGCAAGCAATGTATTATACACAACGGTTATCCAAGTTCCACTACTCTCTATCCGCGCCGCAGCGCTCCCTCAGCCTTTGCAGCATTTCCGCGCCTTGCCTGTTTGCCTTCTTCATTTCTCGCAGTGCCTCCAATCGAGCCTTCACAACATTGCTCTCCTGCATCTGCCTTCGCAGCATCGTCGGAAGGGGGCCTTCGTACGTGGGACCCCGTACGATTCCGTGGGCAACTGCGGCACATATGAGAGAGAACGGAATGCTCCACATGGAATCGTCCTACCTTGAAATTCCTCCTCCGATGGTGATACTGCGGTGCGCCAAGGCCCAGGCCTCCCG